TCGCATCCACAGCTGCTATGGCAGACACTAATCCGACAATTGCTACATCGGCACTGACATTGATACGTGAGCCGTGTGTCTGGCAAGTTGCAGGGAGAAACTCGATATCTAGTCTTCTTTCTCTTCTTCTTCGTTTTTTTTCTTTTCTAATATTTCTGCCTTTCCCCAGTATTTGCCACTTGTTGAGGAGCAAAAAAATTTGATGAGCATGTTGATGTAACACTTGTGTGCACTCCAGGTGCTTGTAGAATTTTGAGGATCAATAAGTGGCTGCCTAAATAAACACTCTCTTGGGTAACAGGAAAACAAAACCTGTATTGTTTGATTTTTGGATGTCAAACCAAGATTAAGTTTTAGGATATCTATCCAATGACAAAGATTAAATTTAAAATTTCACCCGTCGATGCCAAATCCAAAGTTTACTGGACAAAACAAAATTATCAACATTTACATGTAGACGTTTCTTGACTATCACACCATACAGAAGAAAAACACATCACTTCCTTTGTCGATTGCAATCATAAATTAATTTACTTTTCAGTGCTTGTTCTCAGAGAACATGTAAAAAAAAAAAAAAGGACGCAGATGGACAAGTAATTGATACATGTGCAGTACAGGTGTGATTAAGATTATTTGATTTATTTCTTTATTTAAAACAAGTTATCTTATCTTTGACAACATGGTCCACCAGTCTATTCTTTAACCAGAAATTTGTAGAAAACTGGCCAAAAGTCTTAATAACAAGCCAACAAAGCAATATAAACCACAAACAGTATAACGACATGATAATAAACTGTGCATAACAAGCACCAGCGAGCTTTCCATTACAACTGGGAAATCAACGAAAGGGAGAAAACATGAGAACAACTGTTTCTCTCTGGCGAATTTACAAAATTTTCTAAATTTCTCTTCTTGTTGCTCAGACACCACCAAGACACAACCGGCGCACATTAATTCAATCATCAGACCGACACCATGCCTAGCCTGGGGCCCATCAAATCACTTAGAAAATCCCATCATTTTGATGGAAAACATGATCACGATGACAGCAATCCCCCAGCAAATCCCCCCCCCCCAAAAAAAAAACCCTAAAATGCCAGTGCGCACCCTCGATTATTAATTGGACTCTGCCAGGCTTAGCCGTGTACATGCCAAGGGGGCCCGATAGTCTGTGGATGCATGAACCTGTGAAAATTACTGGAAAAAGAGAGATTGGGGGGGGGGGGGAAGGAAGAGCGAATTGGGCTCCTTGGGGAGACGGGAGGGAGAATGGAGGAACTGACCCAAGTAATGGGGACAGACGGCTGTCGGTAAGAGACCCAGGGAAGAGTGAGAAAACACGGTGAGGGAAAAACCAAACAAATCTACTGGAAAGTGTGTACGTACAGTTATTTGCCTTACGGTTTTTCCGCCCTACTGGGAAAGGATTAATTTGCAGATGCCGATCTGGTTTTTTTTTATCTTTTCGTTGGCGGAGGACCTTGATTAGAGGAGACCGAGGCGGTAGATCTTCTTTTTTTTTCTGAACCAGTCGAGACAGAGTGAGTCATCGCTGGGGTTTTTCATTTAATTAAGAGGCTGGTGACTTTCACCCGGCAAATGCATTATTGAGAGAGCAAAGCGGTCGCACACTTCAAATACGGACCGTGTTCAAATACATTTTGCCGGGCATCTTTCGCTGCTGCTGGTCTTTCTCGCAGTCTGTTTAAACAACGATCCCAATGTTTGCCTATTTCAGGGATTAATGGACTTGACCTTGAGGCAGTATAGCAAAAATTGAGATTTTGACTAAAATTCATTGTTATAAAAAAACACAGTTTACAAAACCTATTAAAATACAACAAAACCTGTCCTTTGCACGTATTTTAGGTTATGGTTGACAAAAATTTTAACCCTGAAAAAAGGATGTAATGTTGCTATAATTTTGCTATCCCCAGGTAGATTGAATGACTACGCTCAGTTAAAATGCTATGGCAGCACAACTTATAAATTCGTGAAGAAAATTACCATATGAAGAAAATTACCATATTCTCATTTCAGGGGTAACCTGTCGTGAAAAAATTGACAGATTTTGTTAAAAACCAACCCATGAAATCTACACATGCAAGAAGAAATAGATCTCTCCTTCATAATCGAAATACCCAAAGACCATGTGTACCCCTAACATGCAGGCCAATCATTCCATTCTCAGGTTTCCTGCTTGTTTACACTGATGAAAGACTAGCAGAAAGGCAAAGAAACTGGACACCCTAATCCGCCATGGAAAATAAACTGACTCTAGCACAATGCTCACACAATGGACCTTACTGTAAGAAGGGACCAAACCTCACTCTACTTATTTTTGAATATCTGAAGCCGAAATGAAACTCGAGTAAAACTACAAGGTTAATATTAACAGTAATTATAGTATAAATGTACAATGAATATAGTGTACATGTATGCTTGGCATTGTTCATGCAACAAAGCGGCAGAATTACAAACCACTCATGCCCAGTCATGGATAACAAATGTGGCAAAGAACGGTCTTTTCCAACAATGGACTCTGTTCACCATGGTTCTTCACATGGGCATGTGTGTGTATACATTGTATACTTTTGTACTCTGTATGTATACAACATGGATACACCTTTGTACCAAGAGTGCTGGACTACATACGTACATGTACACATTATACATGTACAAAATGTATGACATACATGTACAAAATGTACATGGACATACATGTACATACATGTACATGTTATACAGGTATGACTACAAACATGTACACTGTATGTATGTCATAATGTGGTCATCACACTCATACATGTACTGTAGTTGCAAATACCATAGAGCAAAGAACAGATACATGCATATTTCAAACTATGAACTTCAATAGCAACTAATTAACTAATTAAATTAGACTTTTTTTAATTTATCGAAACTTGAATTAAGGAAAACTATAATGAACATTTGTATGAAACACTGGCATCTCTATTTTATCTCTGCTGATGGGATTAGCCTGAGATCGAACATCGTTAATCACCACCACTTAAAATTTATGGCCCATGATGTTGTTAGCATTGATTCATTAATTAAATATTGGAGAACGCAGGCGTCAGGTGTTACATAACGCACTTGCACAGTCCCCATCCGATGGCATTTTAAACACACAACAACTGAACTGTGCTATGTATCATTTCTAGGTTTGGAAAGATTTCCATACTTCGCATATGTATGCGAAGTTCACTAATTTTCCTCTGTATTGACTAACAAGCCCCCAGATAGCAATTTCATGTCATCAAATTCAAAGTCAATTTGAGCAGTGAGAAAATACAAGCATTTTCTTAGAAAACACTTAGAATTTTTCAGTCCAATCTCATAGGGTTTGTACACAGGGTGTTGAGTGAACTTCTTATAAAGTTATATGAAAATCTTTCCCTAAGTTTTGTGACCTACAATTCTACATGTAGGTGTGAAGTTTTCTTTTTGTACAGTATACATAATGCATTGATTTTCACTCAATAGTTCTTTTTTGTTTCATACTCCGCCACAATACTATGAAGAGAGCAACAACATGTTGATAAAATAAACATCAAATTTTCTGTGTCCATGACAGCACATATGCATAGTCTGAAAATGCGAGATTTTCAGTACTGTGTACATACACCAGCCACATATTTTTGGACAGCTTTCTAAATATCAGACCTAAGCGCACACAATAAGTGGATTATGTACACAAACTCCGTAAAAGGGGAACGTGTTGAAGATCATGATATTTGAATACCGGTTCCTCAAACTCTGACCAAAAAAAAAAAGAGTGTCGTGTTTGTTTAACCATTGAGACGCGATGTAAACATAGAGGTGTGGCAGTGAAGGGCCCAGGCCAAGTGTTTGGATGTGTGAAGAACACGTTGTCTGTTGCTCTGTCTTCGTTCGGTGGCACATGGAGGGGGGGGGGCTTGAGGCATACATGTATGTCAAGAGGGTGGCTTGTTACGTGCTCAAGTTTAGTTTGCTTTTCGGAATCACACAGGCTGTGGAGTCCATGTATGTAGTCAGGACTGTGGCTGACATGACCAGGTATCCTGCTTTGTAGCCGGAGGAATTGGATCATGTGCCTTTTTAATATAGCCTGTTAAGAAGTTTTGATATGAACATATTTCATTATCAAGTGAACAAAAGGAAACTATTTTGTGGAAAAAATGTTGCAACCTGACCCCACTTCAGCGGTTGTGTACAAAGTCTATGGAGAGTCAAGAAAATTTTCTATACAAGTATTTCCTAACAAAATTGGAAATGTTCAGTCCCAGATTCATGTCTTATCATCATTTTTGCAATGACTGACCTTCATTGAGATGATATGTGAAGAAAAATGTGGCGTCAGGTTGCAACATTTAAAAAAAAATAGTTTTTGACTTTGTTGATGAAATATTGTTTAGTGACTTTCGGTTTAAACATGTACATGAAACATACAAATTTACAAATGCATGTTATAATTTTTGTTTTACATTGTGAAATTTCTCTTTATTTCAAATATATATACTTTCAACAAAGACATTGAAAATCCACATAGTAGACTCCGCAATATATTACTCGATAAACTGATTGCAACATGTTCAGTGTGAAGGTCATTCAATATTTTCCCCTCTTGCGTGCACCTGTCATGATTTAATTTTTAAGTAGATTCCAGATTGTAACTTGAATTAAACATTCACGAAAAATAAGAAGTTTTCATTCTAAAAACTTTTATGTAATTAATTCTAGCTTTTTCACATCATTAATAATAATTTTAGCTCTTTCAAATCATGGAGGACACATCTTTAGCACTTAGGCCTACGCCACAACATAACTGCAATACATACAGTGCATACAGTGATACACACGTCAATGGTGTGTGATGACAAGAACATGTATCACTGCCAATGCACAATCTGCTCATTCGTTGTGCACCAAAACATCGCCCAACCATAGCCCCCAAGGAACAAAGTTCTCCAGTTTCAAACTCAAACAAAACTCACCCAAAACCCTTGCCACCTCGGCCTCTGTCATGTACATGTTCATGTGCGCCGATATCCTAGCACAGAGCTGGAGAAACAGCCATAATCCGAGACAAAATTTCCAACAGTCTCTCGCCTCCATCTTCTTCGCTTTGCACACTGTACTTGCATCAACTACTCGTTGGTGTACATTCTTTGCTCACTTGCGGTACGCCGAATATGCCATACTAGACTACGCAAATGCATTACGTTTGTGTGTACTGCGGTTGACCTCAAAAGGGTCAGAAAATTTGCAGTGACAACTGGGGGGGGGGGGGGGGGGGGGGAATTGGGAGGGGTCACATTGGGGGAAGGGGAGCATACAAGGGATGCAGGATTTGAAAGGGGTGTAAGGCCGAGCATTAACACGTGGCAACTTAAACGCAAGTGGATCAGTTTCTAGTTTTAATGAGTATAGTAGGAGCTGTTTGGCTGAATTTAATTTGATTAGGATTTCAAAATAGCGGGTTTTTTTTCTTTGAAATTCACAAACAGGATAACTATTCTTACTAATTTGTGTTAACTGGCTTCGCGATGTGTTCCTTTCTCTCTCATGCTCAATGCATCATAAAAATATTGCAAATTTTTTTCCCCTCATTGCAGAAATGAGGTCGAGTAAAAATGAGGACCATTGCCTTAATATAGCGCCACCAATAGTTCAAGTCTGTCTATCTTTAAGTGTACCGTAACCAAATCGGGAATTTCCCCCATTTTTTTTTTTGGATACTATTTTTAAATGAAAATAGAAATATTTCACTTTCCTCTTTACACTATCCTGTGAAGAGCGGATTTTAGATGCTCTGTGGTGCGATCTGAGGCAATTTCTGACCACTTTAACCATTTTTTTAAAGGAAAAAATGGTGGTGTACGCAGTGCCTGCCTTTAATATTGCGACGTCGCTTTAAAAAAAAATGGGGGTTTTTTGGGGGGGGGTATGGCCCCGTTGCCCCCCCCCGGATCTGCCCTTGTATCCTGCCATTATAAACAACCATAGTCATAAAAGTTTCATGTATATTTAATCAATCATATATTTTTTTGTTACAGGGTGAAACGAAAAAAACAAACTTTTAATTTGAGAAACTTTGAATTTGTTAATATGGTCGTTGACTTCATTACGTATTCATTCATCATTTAAAAAAACTTTGTGGCTACATTTTCTCAATAAACCTGTTAAACAAATAAGTAAATACAACGTTCAAAAAACAAAAATAAAATATACATAATTTATATGGGAACAATGACATTTTTTCAAGAGCTATGTACACAATTAGAAAGACCTAAATTACGAATTGATATTTGTAAAAAAAAAATGTGTTATGGTGTGATTCGAGGACTGTCTTTATTGATAGGTGAATTGAACCACCCATCCTGCCCATACAACCCAAATGGGTTTATGGTTGAGGCAACTGCGCTAAAAAGCTGTAAGTTGTGGGTTCACATTTTACCAAGGCCTCTGCCAAAAAAATAAAATCCTGGACATTTAAAACAATTTTTGAAACAATCCACAACACAATATCGTTAAGAGCAGTCCAAAAAACAACAAATTATTAACCAAACACATTGCGATGACTGTTTCAACTCATGAACTGAATGGATAGACCATGCAAACATAGATTTTGAAAAAAAACTCTTTTGACTTTCCAATGTTTTTTAGAAAAAAACATTCAGTTTCCTTTGAAGTGTCAATCATTTCTGTCAGTAACAAATAGGAACAACATTAAGTGTAAAGGAAATTAATCTATTTTTATAATTTCACTTGAAAATCAGGGTTTTTTTTACAAACATTATCCTCAGAGATAACAAACAAGCATCTTCATCTGGAGACAATCTGTTCTCTGATTAGTGCGCGCAGGCAAACTTTCCCAAGTTGGGACATAGTGTTGTATCTACTATTTCTTTCCCCTAAAAACCAAAATACATTAATTTCCATCTTCAATCTGTATTCTCAAATTAAGTTCATACAAGTTTTCTGAGTATCTTATCATACAGTAATATATTGCATTGAAATGAATCTGAAAAATTAATCAAACATTATAATCGTTACAAACAAATAACTGTCAATACATTGTAATTTTCTTGTTGTAATTTAAACAAGTAACTCTATGATTGTTCTGTGAAATGTAAAACTTTGCTAGTGTGAAATGGTACAACTTCGCAGTTTCCCTAACAAGTTTTAGTTTGAAAGTTAAACAAAGAAATTGACAGGTTTGAACCTATGACCTCCAGATTGCCGTTCCAGTGCTCTACCAACTGAGCTATCCAGCCCTATGTTGGCGGTTCCCCATTTCATCAATGTCTTTGTTCAAGGGGCGCTAGTCAGAAGCCATTAACCCATATATGCCATGTAGCCAGGGATCACGCCCAAAGTCACGATGCTAGCAACATTAGCAATGCTGCAAACCTGGGAAATGGCAAACGGGATCACTCAGAGAGGATACAGCTTTTATTACAAATTTCCAAATAAACAATAAAAGGAACTGACTTTGTGGTGTATTAATTTTCCTAACACAAGTACCAAGCCAAACCAACTACAAGTTACGTAACTTGCTTGAGGCTAATTTGGATCGTATTTTTTGCTAAAATTTGCAGATCAATACTTTCTCCTTCAAATTTCCTGGGTTTTCTTTTTGAGTTAGCTGAACTGTTCAAAATAATAGTCAAACCCAATACAACTTGGCACATTCAATGTAATGTTGATATTAATATTTACATCGCGCAACCAGCAACAACAAAACACGAGGTAAAAATAACTGTGGATACAATATGTTATGGAATAGAATCTATGAAACTAAAAAATATACTAAATGAATTTAACAGGTCACCCAGGCCGTACGCCTTTAGTTCAACAACAAAAATATTTCATTGGCTAGGAGACCGTCGACAAAAAAAGAAAAACAAATCCAGAATGAAACATTTGGCATCTTCACCGTAGTCACAATTAATTTCATTTTCTTTTCTTTTTTTCTCTTTTGGAAACCCTGTAAAGGTGGTATCAAACATATCTGATTTAATACAAACAGCATTTGTTTTCTTTGACACGGATCAAAACAGATTTGAATCATTAAAAAGTCCCCCAAAATATTTACAAAAAGAACATACGTCCTTTCTCATAAACCGTGAAAATGCCAACACTACGCTTACATGACTATAAATAAAAACGAGACCCATCCTTCTTATTAGTATTGGTGTTGTTATTGTTATTTGCTTTTTGGTTGTCCTTGTGTTCATTCAATGTGAGCAATTGTTAAACTTAGCAACATTAACAGTTGTTAACATTGTTAACAAAATAACAATGTTAACAGTAAAGTTGTGAACAGTGAAGTTGTTAAGCAGTTAACAATGTTAACAGTTAAGTTGTTAACAGTAAAGTTGTTAAACAGTTAACAATGTTAACAGTTACGTTGTTAACAGTAAAGTTGTTAAGTTGTTAACAATGTTAACAGTTACTTTGTTAACAGTATAGTTGTTAAGTTGTTAACAATGTTAACAGTGTTAACACAAGTCCACTCACAAGCAAATCACAAGTAGAGCTGTCCCGAGTATTCGATCATCAACCGACTATTCAAATAGCTTTTTGCCGGGTTGAATATTTGAAAACAAAAAACTACGCACATACACAAAAGAATGCCTTTTTGTTTTTTGAGTAGGTCGTGACTTGACCCGGAACTGGACGACTCAAGATGGACTTTCGAGAACTTGTGATGAACTTGTGAGGACTTATGAGGACTTGTGAGGACTTGTGAGGACACGTAATGACTCGTGATAGATTCAACTACACAACTGTTTGGAATGATGGGAAAACATAAATGGTGTCAGTGCTGGGATTTGACAAAGAAACACTCTCTGGATTCAGTTGTGCCTCTTTGTGACGACTCGTACAATTAAAAGAAGTAAAGCAACCTGACGGGCGTTACGGACGTTACATCATTTTAACAAACCACTGGTCCTTGCCTATTTACAAGCTCACAGAAATGTGCTCCTTTTTATTTGAAGACATTAAATCTTACATCTTGGTTGTCAAGGAAGAAAAAACGACATCATCAACTGTTCCTACGCTAGTTATCTACAGTTAATGCTAAGCTACAGCTATATACTATCTAAAATGCACGGTATCGTACCATAGCAGAGATCTGTGGCGACAAGCATCAATCCAGTACGTGTCTAGTTTGGAGTTGTGTCTCTTGAAATGAAGCACACATCACACATGCAAAGCATAGGGTAATGGGCATAATAGTGGTTTCATACTTTGAATAGGTCTCTCTCAAAGACAGCCATCTCTGTAGAAGAACTGCAACTGCGTATTTTATGTAATTGAAATTTTAGAGTTGAAAATGTTCCAAACACGCTTGTTGCTTGAAATGTGTTCGAAATACGACGCAGCCGATGCGCGTTATGCAAGTTGACTCTCAAAATGCCGATGCACGTGGATGGTCTGTAGGAAATGACGTCATTTGAACGAGACATATTTTGTGGCATGAGCACACAAATTACGCTTAACCCAATTATAAGGTTTGAAGGATTTTGTGCATTTGTCACTCATTGCTTCTCCCCACCCAGGAGCAAATGGGTACCTGTGAGGGCAGAGATGGTTACTGTGATTGATTTTAGCTGCTTTGTGCCGCAATGGCAGCATGGACTTGTATACTCCCCAGGGAGGTGCGATTGCCTTTGGAATGATTTAGTGGCCCAATGAGCAGGGTAATAACGACATAGCGCCTTGAACACCGATACTGGTGGATACGTGTGCATTATAAATACACATTACTGTTATTAAGGATTTTGCAAGATTGAGGAAAGTACAGCCCGGGCTGCTATTTCTTAATATTGGGCTCGATGCTCCTTCTGAGTACAAAGAATGTGCCATTCGAATCATGCAGAGAAAATTGGACAAGTTAGGACGGTTCCTAGCCAAAATGCCTTTTCATTGGTTTTTTTTTTATTAATGTGCTATATCAATCAATGCTTCACAATCTCTGCTACGTGTAGATGCCAACCCCCTCCCAACCCACCTTAAGCCACGCCTTCTCATACGTTCCCTATCCCTTGGAATCAGTGATGTAGTCGAGTTCTTTTCCGAGACCTTCGGTGGCTTTTTGGGGGTTTTTAACAATTGGACTTGTGCATGTGGACTCAGTGTGCAAGTACTCCCTCGACAATTACCAAGGGAGAGTTTTGTGAGGGACCACTGGGAGGAACTTTTGAATGCATGGCACCTGGCGCTAATGCAAAGACGTAACCGATAAGAATAAAATTAGCTGTGCGTACTTCGTGTCATACATGCCCAAACCATTAGCGCATGCAGTGCGTCCCTTCCACCGGGGATCTTGAAAGCGGTCACAAGTATTGTCCGAGCACCGAGTCTCATGAGGTCTCGGAAAAAGGTCTCAACTACATCACCGTTTGGATTAAGAAGGCTAGAGCAAGCCCTATTACGAGGGCTCAGAGGGCTGGAGTTCCTTGATCTGCTTGATGAGGTAGGCTTTCTCATCGTTGAACTGTTCGTCCTCTGTCCTGTCTGTGTGGAATGCCGTCAGGAACTCGACCAGCTTGGCCTTGTTCTTGTTGAGGATGTTGAGGATGGCTGGGGTCTTGTTGGGGTTGGCTACAAAAACCTGCAATGAGTTCCACTAACAGATTAGAACCTGTATTTACATTGTATAACATTGTATTACATTGTATTACATAGTGTTACATTGTATTACACTGTATAATTTTGTATACATTCCCTGATGAATCAATAAAACTGTACAGTGCTGGGGCAGTTTTCGGCAGTATGGGCTCCGTGCGCAAGTACCCCTTCAACGGCCAGAAAAGGAGAGTTGGGGGAGACCTAGACTGGTTCCCGGTCCATCCACTGCATATTTCAAATGATCCAAAGTTATTAGGGCAGGTATTAGTTTGGGAGACCATTGCAAGTTAAATTTGAACGTGCTAGCGTGCCGACGACGCCTGACACTCATGTGCAAAAATGCTATGGCTTAGCTTTGTGCACATTAGGATAAATAAGTTGTGCGTACTTCGCACACAAAACAGTACAGTACACACACGCTGTGCACGGAGCCCATAGGGAGAAAAGGGAAGATACAAGGCTAATGAGTTTCACAGATTAAAGCGGGGCAGAATGTTTTAAAAGAAATGTAGTTAAACAAAAAGAAAACAAGACAGACCAACTCCTTGATACCAAAGTTCTATTTCACTTTACTTGCTGTTAAAACTGTAAATTTTAATTGGACTCGTGATGTTTTTATTATTATTTTAATTTTTATCTTTCAGGTAATGAACCAAGGAATCCTCAAAAGTGCCCTAGGCACTGTAGCTTGGAAGCTTGAAGAAACCTTTACATGCTTTAAGAAGACAATGAGAAGAAATTTCAGTTTTAGAGGTCGGAGGAAAACCGCAGAACAATCTTTGGGGGAAAACCCACGGAACAAGTAGGGACTGAAAACCCAATCCACATGTGGACCAGGGCCCGGACCATGGCGGTGGAATTCGAGGAAAAGAAACTGCCGTGCAAATCTGACTCCCGTCGATTAAAACTCTGCCCCCGATCGACGTACCTTGAAAACGTGAAAGGCCTCAAATTGTATATTCCGACTACTGTCTCGCAGCATGTTCATCATGAGTTTGAGGTTGTCTGTGTTGCTGATGTACTTGGTCATGATGGTGAAGTTGTGTCTGTCAAGTAGGAGCTCACCGAGAAGCTGTAAATATTGAAGAAAAAAGCATGAGAAAGATACTTTTCAGACGAGGAACCATCACAACGAAATTGTGGATTGAGCAGATTTTATGTAACTTACTGAACAGTATCAACGTCTAGCATGTCTCCTGCCAATTTGGCTCATCGGAGGCATGCATATCGCCGGTTTTTGCAGCATAAAAGCAGTTCATATTTAAGGGTATAAACTTTCAAAATTGTCCAAGCCTTCAGAACAGTTCAGCACACCTACCTTTAAGGACTGTCGCTTTGTGACGTAGTTTTCTGAGTTGAGCAGCTTCTGGTACTCTGTGAATACTCTGTCGTATTCCCCCTCCAGAAACTCTGCACACAGGACTTTGTGTCTAGTTAGCAGCTCCTGTTTGAAACAAACAAATTGGTAAATATAGTAATAATACTTTGGTTTTATTGAAACTCAATGCCAAAAGGGATCAGGCTGTCATCTGCGGGTGGCACACAGATATTAACGGCCTCGCACGCTGCTAGCGGGAAGCTGACACAGATGTTTCCGGCCTCGTTCGTTGCATGTTTATCTGGCATATACCGCAAAACCTTTGCGTGTATCCACGCCATCTGGCGCGAACTGGTTAAGGAACAAGTATGTGTGTGTATACACATTCAAGAAAGGACCTTAAACAATAGAGGTCCTTGAAAAATAGAGGACACTCTTGGGTACAGGTCCTCAGTTGGAAATGTGTACCAAACGAATGACCGTTCTACCCAGGAAGTTTAAAGTATAGACTATACGGTTAAGAGCTGGTTAAGAATAAAGTACGTGTGTGTATTCACATTCAAGAAAGGACTTTGAATAGAGGTCCTTGAAAAATAGAGGACACTGTTGGGTGCAGGTCCTCAGTTGCCAATCGTGTACAAAACGAATGGGAGTTCTTCCCTTGAAGTATAGACAATACTAGGTCCACGACAAAAAGATTCAAGAAAGGACCTTGAACAAAAAAAGATCCTTGAAAAACTGAGGACACTGTTGGGTGCAGGTCCTCAGTTTGAAATCGTGTACAAAACGATTGGGAGTTCTTCCCAGGAAGTCTGAAGTATAGACAATATGAGGTCCACGACAAAAGGTGTTTTCATTCACCCTTTTATCACTTGACCAAAATCAATTATTTCCCGCATTATGGGCACTCAATGGGTTCAGTCTTGTCAAACCTTGAACGTGGCAAAGGCATCAGAGGCAATGTCGAACGTTGACATCTCCACGTAGTTGAAGAAATTAAAGAAATCCTCGCTCTTCAGAATGATACTGGCCAGCTCGTAAAATCGGATGCTGTCCCGTAGCATGATGCCGCAATTCAAGGCAATCTGTTGGTTTTCGTACCTTTTAAAAAACAGACACACAAGATAAAAAAATTACGTCTTATGTCCTCATTCCATCAGGGCATTTGCACTAACATTTTTAGAATTATTTATACACCATAGGCCTATTACAATGAGCAATGGTTATATGATGGGCTAATGTAGGGCCAATGATTTTCCGCGATCGCGGAAAATGGACGGAATTCGCGGAATCTGCTCCTCGAAACGGAAAACGGAATTTGAATCTGAAGAAAATAATTTCTGCAATTTTATTGATAAAAAACATAATTTCGTTAAATTTATTGAGTACAAAACGAATTATTGATGATTGATTGAACAGACGAGCCATACAACAAATAAGCAGTGTTTATATCACGATTTTGGGGGGACAAAAACGTTCAAGATCCGAGCAATAAATGTTGCGAGATCATTACCGTAGTACGCGTAGTCATGGGAGTGACAGTCCCGACGCATGCCGTAGCTGTCGGTCAGCGCAACGGTGAAAATCATCACACTAGCGGGTCTCTTTTGCTCCATCTGCAGGTTTATTTTTCTCTGTTCAATCAATCAACCATTCGTATAACATTTGGCTCTATTGAAATGCATGTTGTGCTTAGGTCCAAAATCTACCGTGTGTTCTTATTCCTCCATGCGTAAACTATCCTATTTTGTCGCTAACGTTAGCCGAAAACAAAATGGCGGACATGAATTTCGCTTCGGCCAGCTGATGTGTGTAACGTCATGGGATTGGCCTGTACGGCTATTGCATGTTTCTTGCGTGTGTGGCAGTGGCAGTGCAGTATACGACTTGACTGTGGTGAAGTTAAATACTATGTCTGTACATTGATCGGCCGTTGATAAAATAGAAATCTTTTTGGGGCAGTTTTCCCGCGCTCCAACCAAACGACTATTTCATTATCGTCTTGGAATTATTTACTGTGTACATGGTTTATGTTTAAATGCCTTTTTATGTATTGAATAAATGTGAAACAGAATTTTTCAGCCTGAAACGGAATTCAGGATTTTTGAAAACGGAATTTGCACTTTTCTGAAACGGAAAATCATTGGCCCTACTAATGGGAATAACGGCTCATATATTGTCTCACTTTCACATTCATAGCAGTGGTAAGGCTAGACTATTAATAATTCAATTTAAAATTCACTTTAATTTTACAAAACGCAACATCCCCCAAAAAAATCAAGTTACATTAAGTTCCAGTTGTGTAAGTTTTTTTCCATCACAAGTAAATTTCAAGTCTGTTCACAAAACTGATCACAATAAGCCAGTTCAGTATTCCTACTGCGCTTGTGCACATCAAGATTTGCTGATTTTTCTTTCGGGATAAAAATTTATCGTAAGCGTGCAAAAGCATAACGGGGTACCAGAAAAATTGAACAGATCATCGTGTTCTGAAGTATAACATTTTGCAAAAAACTTTGGACAACAAAGTGGTTTAAGGTGTCTTGCGTGTCAAAACGTTTGTGCGAATCTCTTTTCGATTGCACGACAAATTGCACAGAATGCAGATTTGGTTGCCACGTCCCCCATAGCCTTGTGTGCATTTATCTGCCATAGTTACCCCCCCCCCCAAAAAAAATTGTCTAATCTTGCTGTGCACCAGAGTACAGACTATTTTGGAATACCGAACATGCTTATTTACAGTCGCTGAACAATAACCTTTGAACAATGATGTCTTTGTCACAGTTCAATTCGGGCGATTCACAATGCAGAGCGCCACCAATAGTTTGCCACATAGAATTCATTTTTCCCAGTGCATTGTGGGAGATGGTCGACAAATTCGCAGTGCGGAACAGTTGAAATTGTTTGTTTTTTTCCGGTCAGTAGTTTCGTAAGCGTATGATTCGAGTATACGTTTGCCCTTTTCTTTTCTTTGTATCCAATATGGTGATTTTTGGTAAGGCGGCAGAACACTATGCCCCAATCTATAACAAATTAGCTCAAGTGTCTACTGACAGTCATCCAAATGGGCCATATTTTGTCGACCGTAAACTTGAAAAGTTGACTTTCCATGGCAAACTCTTGGTGGCGCACTGCATTGTGAATCGCCCGAATTGATGAGTTTGTGATGAACTTGTGATGGACTCGACTACCAGCACAGCACTGCGCCTGTCATTGTTCTCACCCTTTGCAGAGAATGAAGAGGATTTCTTTATAGGAGCAGATGTAATCCACCGCCGGCATGCGATTGCCAATTTGTCTCCGCAGCACGTTGTTGTAGATTTGAGCCACGTCCTTCTTGGCCTAACAAGAGCAAGGAAGAGAAAGAAAAAACAGGGAGTGTGTAACAAGCAGTGGTGTAGTCGAGTTCTTCCTCCTGCCCCTCATTTCCAATACACACGGTAGATGATGTAAACTACAGAAATGCTACTTGTTTGTTTACATTCTGATAACTATTGGTTGTGGACGTACGATAGGCCCCGCCCTGGAAGGGGTAGGGTTAACTCCTACATTGTAAATCTGGAAATGAACAGACAGTGGCACACAGTGAATATTATGGTGAAACTGTCAAGAATAGATGTTTAATGATGTGCTGCTCAACAAGGAATGAGGCAGTCCAGCACGGTCAAGCATGGCAGCATGTCCTCCTGTGTTCCTCAGCCAATAGAAAGGCAGTGACCATGGTAACTGGTCATGCAAGGCCAATGGCTGTGGGATTCGGGCACGCTAGTGCCACATGGACAATGGAAGGTGATTGGGTGGAATTTTCTGGGACTTTTCTTGAAACCTCTGCGAGGGGCCCTACACAGATATTCCATGCCGTGTGCCATAGACCCATGGCTTGCATACACCCGACCTTCTATTTTTGGGGTTGTGGGTCACATTCACTGTTCTTGTATTGTCATTTCTATTTAAGGTTTCTTTTTGGGGATGTGGTTAAAAAAAGCTTGACTAGTGGAGAATCATAGCTGTCTTTGTGTAAGTATCCCACAAGTCCCCTCTTACAAGAACAGCGTGTCCAACAAACCGAGTTGCCACATCTACTGTTCGTACACACAGTCCACAGCCCTAACCTCTGCAGACCACCCCCCCCCCTCCTGTCGCCCCCCTCCTCAACCCCCCCCCCCAAAAAAAAACACCAGTGCTTCTGTTTTTACCTCAAAGTCCAGATGTCTCAGGTACTTAACCAGAAGTAGTAGCAGACCAGTGTGGCATATGGCATGGCCCAGCTGGTTGATCAGATCTGACTGAGGCTCCTGGTCTCCCACACCGTACAGGATGTTCTTCATTCCCACCAGACTCTTGGACACATCCTCCAGTGCCTGGAAACAGCAAAATGAGAGCAAACAAATTGTACAACTGTCATCCCTTTATCTGTGCAGGAAACCAGACAGTGATGATTCTAGGCCTTCAATACACCGCCTGCACTGCATGATTTTAGTACACCATGCACAATTGCAAAGAACAACGCTAAAGGCCCATTCTAGACGCTGTGCTAATGCCATGCCGAACTCAACTTTATGATTCGGCACGTCGATAGCACTGTTCTAAACAACGTGCCATTGCCGTACCAAACTCAACTCAATTCGAAGTCGGGGCAAACATTTTAGGAATGTGCATGCTCACAATACCCTCTTACCAAGGTCAGTGAAATTGGTGTGAATATTTTGATCCCACTGAAAGTTCATTGAACTGCTTGAACTGCTTTAACCTGGCCCAATACTAGAGATGCATTACGTTCGGCATTTAGAGCAACTACCGTGCTGTAGACGAGTTAACCCTAACGTCCTAAGGGCTCTTTGGGGGTCCAGGCCCAAAAACCACAGAATACTACATGTGTTGTACACACTTGTATGGAAAGAAATGCATACTACAAGTTACTACTCAGTAATATTTTGTAGCTTTAGGTCAGGTTAGGGATAATGACACACTCGTTTTAATTAAACTTGGTGCGGCAGTAACACGGCGCCTAGAATGAGCCTTAGTCTCTTTAGTATCACACAAAGCCTTGAGCTACGTCTACTAGTTCTGACAGGATTTGTAATTTTCAGACGGGTTTTATAAAATTTACTTCACCAACCTTTTCTGCTTTCTTCCCCTCCTGGCATTTATCGAAGATATCCAAGGCATCCTTGGCAATCTTGACCAGCTCCTGGGGAGTCTTGGCCGACTTCCCGAATAATGGCATGGCTTACCCCTCGCCGCTGACCTCCTTCTGGGAATGAAGAGAGTAGAAAGACGCAGACGGACAGACAAGGGAAGCAGGGGAAAACCTATATCCCCGGTGATATCTAGTCGCTAGCTTTCCCACTCGACAACGGCCGACTGCTCTAGGACTTGTAAAAGCTGAATCTGTGTTGAATTAAAGGGGGAAAATCTTAAACAACATTCATCCATATGCTCAGGCCATCATGGCATGAGTGTACTCTAACCCTGCTGAATCCAACAGGATCTAACAGTATGCATATCATATACCCGCTGGAGCCTGTTGGATTGAGCAGTAAACCCCTGGTGTACATTCCTGATGCAAAATGTTGGATTCAGCAGGTAACTGAACCGCATTATAACGCCAAGTTGGACTCTGATGGATCCAGCAGACAACTGAAAATAATTAGGCACAGTGGGATTCTGTTGGATTGAGCAGGAAACTACCGTTGGACTCTTGGATTTAGCAGGGTAGTCCTGAGGAACTACTAGGGGGTTAGGGTTCCTAACCTCCCCAAACCCATCAAAATCCACCCCCCAATTTTGGTGGATTTAGGGGGACTTGGTCCCGCAGGCCTAGTGTGACTAAATATTGATGGAGTATGATGGACTTGGGCCTGGAGGCCTACAGCAAAGCATGCATTGGAAGCAGTGTGCTTGATGGATTTTGGCGGACTGATCGATCCAATACTCAGTAAACAGTAGGGAGTTACATGTAGGGTAATCCACAAAATCCTTTTTGATGCTTTTTGAAACAAATTTTAATTGATGCTGGAAACTAGAATGTATCTCAATCCAGGTGAAAGCCCTGCATTGTGTACATGTCTATGTACTTGTACATGTATGTAATGAATTATGACCAGGAAGCATTAAACTTATGACATGTACATGTAGTTTACGTGTGTATGTATGCATGAAGGGCAATAGGGCACAGTAAATATACAATTTATACAACTTCATGTACATGTACATTGACAATTGAGGATGCTGTAAATTACACTCAGAAGCAGGTGCTTATAAACACATTGACAAGCTCTTTCCATTGTTTTCTTTCATTACATGTGAATACTCACATGTATAAGCAATACACGCATGGATAAACGGATGTGAATTACACATACCAACAATTCAGATTCAGCAGAATATGTACATGTACGTCAGATAATTGTCAAGTGGTAATGACACGAGAGGCTGGCCTTTCGTGCACGGTTCAATGTAAAGGTCACAGCAATAATTCCAGGATGGATTATAAAGGTTACTAAACGTTAGCAACTTAGGAGATTATTGGCTACATTTACGCGTCCTATTACTGGACATTCCATAAATGCCTCTCGCATACCTGAACGGAAATAATGGAGACATGTAATGCTGCATTGTGGGAAGATCTGAAACTTGCATGCAAGGCCTGAAATATAAATGTACAATTTAATACATGTACATTGTACATGCACACATGTACAGGTAGTGTACGTACCGGTACTTTATTTAATTGTCACAATTATGTATGTAGGCCTACCGGTACATGTACGTGTCAACATTTATACAATGATCAGTTAATGTTTTCACTTTTAATAACAGGCGTATCTGCAAATAACAGCAAAAATGATTTGCTATTGGCGTTTCAGTTTGTTCAAGTAAATTTAAGTATGAAGGGACAATCACATGAAGTCATTAGTTTTGTCATGTGAGTAGAATGACTCAGATTTTTTTCCAGTGAGAAACTAGTACAAACATGTTTACATCAAAAATCTACATATGGGTCATCTAATGTTCAACTGAGATCTACCTCCTTAAATCCTGCAAAATCCAGCAAAGCCTTTTGGTAGATGTTGAAAGTTTGTGGATTAATTAGGATGAGAGTATAATTTTCTGTGTAGAATTGTTAACCCTAACCATGCCTCCAACCTTTCGAAATTAAACTACATGTTTTGTTCAAATCCACGGTTGGAGTGAGTACTGCACTAGTAAACTGATTACGCTTTACATGGGGACAGGCATACCCTGCCATAATCAGAGTCCAGTTTGGGTGTAGAGTTTACCATATGGGGTTGAATTTTGCAAGAGTGAGGAAGGTTCCTAGTAAATCACTCCAGGGGATTAGGGTTTTAAGGTATGAAACCATGTTAACTTTAATCCTAACTCCCTATGCCTTTTTGCTAGGATGTAGCCTCAATCCTGCAAAATCATCCAATTGGCCTCATGGGAAAATAGCATAAAGCCTCAATCCTGCAAATTCCTCCATTATTTCTTGAATATGGTCCTGAGGGGTTACCAGTGCCTGAATCTTGCAAAATCCTGTGACAGTGACTGTCAATATGTTGAGACTTGGCCAGTGACATCCTGGAGCAGTATGGAGGATTTCAAGCATAATCCGGGTCCATATTTATGCATGGCTAATCAAAAACAACACAAGGTCCGGCCCAAGACCTTGACAAAGTGCATCCTACGAAATCGTAAGCACTTTTACCATGTAACCTCAATCCTCCAAATTTCTCCACTTTGGCAAAGAAGATTTTGAAGGATTCAGGGCAGTTTAGGGTAGTTAACCCTAACCCCTTTGAGTGATAATAGGAGCCTTCATCACTCCAGCCAATCCAACACCATATGGTAAACTCTACACCCAAACTCTGATTATGGTGGTACTTAATGCCATGTAAAGCATTCATGAAATCAGTTTACTGGTGCACTATGTCTCACTCCAACAGATTCCAACAAACCCTGGTATTGGAGTCTGACTGGATGGGGACTGTTAGGGTACAACTTCTTACTTTGATGTTAACCTTCTATAACCATTGCAACCTACATACATGTGCTGTACGGTACACTCTTTTGCATAAATTTACATGTACTTGTAAGATCAGATTCCAAGTTCGGAAACTCGATAGATGTTAACCTTCTATAACCATTGCAACCTACGTACATGTGCTGTACGGTACACTCTTTTGCATACATTTACAAGTACTTGTTAGATCAGCTTCCAAATTCGGAAACTTGATATACATGAACGCAGGGTAACGTCTAATGTGTGTGCACATATACATTCATAAACCTCTACATTACATGTAAAACCTCGTGAGGCTTTTAACATCGCATAAAAAGGTCAGGTCCCCTTCCCCCTTCTCTGCAGACACAGAGGTCCTAATTCAATTTCCTGTCAGCTCAGTGTCTGGTGTCTAACATCTGCGCCATTATGACACTTCCTCACTGCATCGTTTACGATGATGCTGCATTCGCGGACATTGTGCAAAAATGCGCACAATAAAAATGCATGCCCATGGGGGATGGTTAAAATGCACGCTGCACAATCAACGCAGACTTGGCGAACCCTTATACTTCAAACGAAGATGAATTGCGGCACTAGAATACTTCAATGAATCGGCCTGAAGGAAAGACACACTCTACCCTCATTTTTACAAGGCCACTTTTGTCACTTCAATTTTATCACTCGAACTTATACACATACATAAATTATATGGTGGATCATATTCATTTAAATTTTAATAAATCTAACAACTTGATCATTGCCATCAAAAATCTGAAGTGGGTTTACATTAATTAACCATTGCCAGCTCAGCTGAGTGGATACATTAAACCAAAGGCTTAATTTGTTAGTAAAAAGCATACAAGACTTCCTTAAATGTCTGCATTAATTAAGATGTCACACTTGAGTGATTAAAATGAAGAGCAACTTATGGGCTTTCTACTGTAGGTGATAAAAAATGACTCAAAAGTTGTCCGTAAGACTCATTTTGTTGGATTCAGTCACATTTTGAACTTGCAGGCTAGCTACAATTTTGCTCAAAACGAATAAAAAGATATATTGCAAATATATGAATTTAAAAAAAGTATAAAAACAGGAGGTGGTTGAAATAGCGAGTAACTTAGTCCGCAAAAATTTTCGGGACTCTGTATGAGAGTCCCGAAAATTAAGATAGTAAAAACATGCAATACAAGAAAATAGACTGGCACATGAAACAACCAGTCCAACACCCCCTTAGTACTGCATCAATCAACTGTGCCATTTTTTTAAAGAAAAAAGAAAGCATTTTCCTACACAAATGCCATCAGACTAATGAAGGGTCAATCTTTTCAAAAAGTTGGACATAAATGTACATGTACCAGTCTAGTCTTAGGCTTCTAATTGAAATCACTTGGCTTCACTCTCGGGTGCAAAATGTTGAAGAAAAGTCTCTTTTTAAAAATTGAATTGAGACCTCAAACTTGGCTGGTGAAATACTGAGGACCTTGTCTTTACCATATGAACATTTCAGAGGATTTGCTTTGCTAAAGAGATAACTTACATGTAAGTAAATTTGACCTGATTATGTTTTCTGCACTCAAGGTCCTAGTCTGGGAGTTTTGAAATTACAGGGCTGCATGAAGCAACACCTTTGGGTCATTCCATGCCAATTCAACGGGCCATGACACCATATGTCACAGATTTTGTTCAAACTTGGTGGAAAGGTCCTGTTAGTTGTTCTTTAGATGATATCGAAAGCAAAAATTCAAATTGCTTTCCGTTGAGGTGTTACGGTAGCACAAAGTTCAATGAACTTTGCCAAAAAAGGGGAAACTGGCTGGCCCATAGAATAAATCGCTGACTTTAAGGACCCATATCTTGAGATTGAAATTGATTTGGAAGCTGAATTTGGATACATGGGTACAACTACTGTAGTAGAGCAGGAATATAGGGAAATAATACCCATCATGCCTCACACCTTAATTTTAGGGGGGGTCAAAAATGATCTGTCATGATGCGTCACATGCATTTTTTTTCAAATTTTGAAGGCCCCTAATCTTGGAACTTTGCATTAACTTTTTTTATTTCAATTTTAATGTAATCTCTGACTACTAATACAGACATTTATGTGAAAGAAAGAGCAATTGTGGATGTCTTCCCTGATTTGGGTGACCCCCAATATGGCCCCAGCCACAAATCCGCCTTAAAATTTGCCCAAAACAAGGGGGAAATCCCCATGTGGCTTTGGAGATATAATTTTCTAGGGTTTTCTTTAGTAAAGAGTGCATCTTCAAGATTTATATAAATTTATAATCGAAAAAAAATTCATGTGTACATTGTATCTGGCATTTTCATGAAAAAGCTAAACAGAAAGTTCAACTTCAAGTGAAATTGGATAACCGTTATTCAGAAAGAATAATCCAGACACCACTTCAGCGGTTGTTGGTTGTGTACAAAGTCTATGGAGAGGCAAGACAATTTTAAGTAGGCCCTATTTCTAATTTTTTTAAACAAAATTGGAAATGTTTCTCAGTTCCAGATTCATGTCTTTTCAACACTGTTACAATGACTGACCTCTATTGAGATGATAATACGAAGTGGCTACCGTTACGGCACTCGTTGTTTAGCGCCCTCTACGATTTTTTTTTGATACGCACGCAGGTATATGATTATTTGTTTCCCCACGTTTTATCGAGCAGTGCGCCAGCTCAGCCGATAGAGGGTAGGATTTTGCACCGCGAGGTTGCGGGTTCGAATCTCAGTTTTGCACTCGAATTTTTTTCCTTTTCTAACCTGAGGCTTTGGAGGATTTTTTTTAAAAGGGAAATAAAGTCCGAATTTCATAAAGTTCAAATTCACTTTTTTCCTTCTAATTTTATATTTTCTTGTCATGTTTTTTTATAAAAGTTGCCAGGTTGCAGTCTACCGTAACGATAGAAAATGGGAAATGCGTTACGGCTGCCGTAACAATAGCCACTGCGATGATAATATGATGAATGAAGTGGCGTCAGGTTGCGACATTCTTTCCCACATACATGACATATCGATAAACATCACATGGCAGTGTCACGACTGAACTGCATGCACTGCCTCAGCTCAGCCTGCATGTAGCACTAGCACCCCCTAGCAGTGACCACTACAAAATTGCAACTCGAGACAACGCGTAGCGCGTAGCGTGACTGCTTAACTCGCATCGAGCTTGTCCATTAATACACACAGAAAATATCACGATACCAACTTTATATATCCTTCCAAACAAATTTATCATATTATCTAAGGTTAACAGGTGCAGTTTGATATAATTTCGGACAACCTTTTTCACAATTTGAGGGGGAAACGGCAAAATATAAAGCCATACCTTACCCGGTACCCGCCTTGAACATCAGCAGTGCGCCATCAATGAGTTCATTTATTTTTTGCACACCTCGAGATATGACGTCACCGCTTATCTAGCGCGTTGGCTGACCCGGAAGTGCACATTTTCGACTAAAAATAATATTAAAACTTCGGTATTTTTCAAAACATTTCCTCACAAGAATTCCTAGCCAAATTTTGAAATAATTTCTACATTTCCAATGTTGAGCACCCCGTATATGGCAAAAGTCTCGGGCCGGTAATGAATATTCAGAAGTTTATTTTTAGATTGTACCTAGGTTCAAAGGTCACACCGAACCCGATCGCGTTAATAACAAACCTTGGTGGTAAAGGCGGGGATCGTGCGAGAATTTTCAGTTTTTACTTCGAACTATTCCAGATAAAAATGGTTCCCACAGTGCGGACAGATGCTTGTGTTATTGGAGCAGGTATTTCGGGCCTTGCAGCGGCAAAATGTCTTCAAGATGCCGGGTTTGCGGTGGTTGTGTTGGAGCAGAGTGATCGAGTCGGCGGGCTTTGGGCGTTCCGAGAACGTGGGTACGGCGTCATGCGCTTTACACACATGTGAGTGGGGACGCGGGTAGCACTAGTACTACTAGTACTAGCAGAGATGAACAGTATGGCCCATAAATGTTGTGAATTACATAATATCCTTCGTCTAATCAGTTCATTAGGATTAAACTTAGATTAAAGCCAGATACATTAAAGTTACAACGGTTATTTACTGTTTATTTATTGATTGATTGTAGCTGGAGTTACCCAGCCTTAAATTTTGTCATTGGGTTGTCAAATGACAACCCAAATGATAACATTTAGGGCTGGGTAACTCCAGCCCCATAAATGTGGCCAATTTACTGGACTACCTCCGTAAATAAAGGCCACACTTCCACCATGTACAAAAACATGTCAAACTTTTTTTAATGTTTTTTTTTTTTTGGGGGGGGGGGTGGGGGGGGTAGCTTGGGAAACCCCAGCTTCAATGGCAATTAGAAATTAATTAGAGCTCCAATGCTCAAAGCTCGAATGAGCATTAGACGAGCTTGGGTTTCCCAATTGGGGGATGGGTTTGAGTGAATTATTGAAGGTGATGCGAAATTAATGGAACATTAATATTATACCATCTTTATTTATTGGAACACATAATAGAAAAGCAATTTTTGCGTCTAGGATGTTTTTTGAAAATGTTTTATTCCATTGCAGCAATGTGTCCAAGTACAACTACTGTTTCTCTGATTACCCGTTTCCTGACGAAACGCCAGACTTCCCCCACCATTCCCACATGGCGAGATACGTCGATGATTACACGACGCACTTTGGATTGGATAAGATCATTCGATTCCAGATGAAGGTGGTTTCCTTGACCAGGCAGGGTAAGACAACAACAATCATGAAGCATTCCTGTCAAGAATAATGCATTTTTGAAGCTAAATTTACATATTTTAGCCATTCTGATGATTAAACTAGAGAATCTCCACAAGTAAAATAAAGGCACCAAAGCCCATGGCATAAACATTAAAGGTACTTTACATCATTGCAAACATCAAAAAACAAAACTACCAAATTAGTATGGAATACCTTACTGGACTGTTAGTGAATAATAGTCTCAAGCTTTCTGTGAAATCATCATGGCACCTGGTGTGCTGCCATTTTCAAGAAAAGTAGAATTTGTGTATCAATCTCCAACGATGGTCATTCGACCATTGTTGGAAAAACTGACTTTTTTCCAATACTGCCCCCAATTTTTACCAAATTTAGTTAGTCCACATCTTTTTTGCAATCCCTTGCATTAAAAAATCTCAAGGAGGCAAAGTTATGAATTTACAATATATTTTGTATTAATTTTATCCTTATATAATTTACTTTTCTCTATTTATTTGCATTTTAATTTGACAGATGAAGAATGGATCATTAGAGCAGCTAGGGTGGACGCTGATAAACACGGCGAAGAAAAACTTGGAGAACAAGAAACCTTCATAGTCAAGTATGTCGCCATTGCATCGGGTCATCACGCCGCACCAAACCAGCCCAAGTTCCCCGGGCAAGAAAGTTTCAAAGGTAGCAATTGTTCCTTATCTCTCATCGATATTTCGGAATGAGATCATCAGCTGGGAAAAACAGCATGGACAGTAGATGGATCTATCCAAAGAAACCTCCAAAGAAACTTCAGGCTTTTAAGTATTCCCAGTTTTCCTACTTTTTCCTAGGTTTGTTTTTTACCCTTGCTCCTACTTTTCCCACTTTTTTCTTAAAATTCCTACTTTTTGCTACTTTTTTGTCCCACAACTCTGAAAAATGAAATCCCATTGAATATTTTTCATAACATTGTTACACACTGTCACACGCAAATCACACAATGAAGGGCTTGGGCGCAGGAGTACTGCAACTGTACTTCCAAGAGCTTAGTTGAGGATGGAGCACAAGTGTTGTGAGTACAGAACATGCCAAATGAGGCTTATGATGCTGTGGACATGGGTGAGTATCAACAAAAAATACACCTGAAAGCCTGTCAAAGTCCTAATTTTGTGCTCTAAAGTCCTATTTTGTCCTGTTTTTTAATTTTTTTTTTTAATCCCACTGTTCTACTTTGTTACAGAAGAGATCATCCATAGTGTTTCGTACAAGGATGCGATAACCAGTGGCATTGTGGGTAAGCGCGTCTTGGTGGTTGGCATCGGCAACAGCGCGGTGGACGTTGCAGTCGATTTGGCAGCTACTGGAAGGTACAAGTCATTCCCTGATACAACTTGGAAACTTGGTCACATAACAAATCACAAGAAATTAATCTGTGGCCGTTTCTCAAAGCGTAGCTTTTGTCTCCTTCTCTGGCTTTCAAGGCGTGCAGTTTTGCAATGGAGACGAGGAAAAAACCCTGACTTCAATCAGTCAGTCAGTAGTTTAGTCAGTCAGTCTGTCATTCACTCAGTTAGTTGTTTATTCAGTTGGTCAGTTCATAGGCATCGGTCAGTTGGTTTGGTCAGATAAGTAGTCCAGTATTACATTTGGTTACAGAACAAAAGCATCATACTGTTAAAATTTGTCAGGATAACATGATTGCCAAAGCTTTTTAATTTTTAATAACATCAGTTTTATCCCTGATTTTTATTGTTATAAACACATTCACCCTAATTTGGAAGTTGAACGATGTGCTTGACTTCAGATCCAAAGCTGTCTACATCAGCACCAGGTCCGGTGCCTGGATCGTGCCCAACTACATCTTTGGCCTTCCTACTGACCTCTACGCATCTCGGCTGTTACTGTGGTTCCCATGGCAACTCACCTCGCGATTATTTGAACCAATAATGTCCTTGTTGCTAGGCCACCCTGAAAAGTAAGTTGTACTTCTTAGTAGAGTTGATACAGTATTTTTAAATTGATACAAGACACACTGACAAAAGAGATCCCTAATTACTTTGTGGCTGTGTTGTTCGTAGTCGAGTCTATCATAAGTCCTCACAAGTCCATCGAAAGTCTTGAAGTCAAGTCACAAGCTTTTCAAATGAACTGTGTCAATAGTTGTCTTGTCTGTTCACCCCCAAAAGTTGTCATCTAGTCATCTTGAACTGCTTTTGATCGGACTTGTAAAATAACTTGTGATCTGCTTTTGACCCGACTTGTGATGGACTTCACTACAACACTATTGATTGTTCTGAATTGTCTTAGGTACAACCTCAACCCCAAGATGCACCTGTTGCAGTCTCAGCCCACCGTTAGCCCCACCCTCATCCACCACATCCAGCGGGGTCACATCAAGGTCAAATCCAACATTGCCAGGATCGACGGGAGGACGGTTCACTTTGCGGACGGCTCGTCGGCCGAGGTTGACAACATTGTCCTTTGTACAGGCTATCACATCAACCTTCCGTACCTGTCTGAGGAGTTGAGGTCCAAGGTCCTGGATGATTCATCAAACATGATTAAGGTTAAAAGATGATGGACTTTACTTTACATTTTAATTGTTGTACTTTTTCAGAAAATGAAACTTGTCATGAATTTTCAACGTAGCCCATCAGTTGTCAAAGAACTGTTCTCCCTGTATACTTGTCCAAGATGAACATTTGTGACTTTTGTGCCACCAGCTCTTCAAGAATGTCTTCAGCCCGGCCGTCGGCCCGTCACTTGCCTTCATTGGCTTCGTCCAGCCAGCATCAGGAGGAATCCTCAGCATGTCAGAGACCCAAGCACGCTGGTTTGCTGAGATTTGCAGAGGTCAGGTCAAACTGCCAGGTCAGGAGGTCATGACGTCTAGTATACAAGAAGATACAGTAAGTAAAACATTTCTTAGTGTAAAAGATGCCAAGTTTTTTAAGCCTCAATGAAAGAAATGTGAAGGAAATCTGCCATCTAAAAAGAAAACAGCTTTTATGATTTTGGTGTCTTCTCTTACCCAGGATGCCGTTAAGAAACGCTACACTGCATCAGCACGTCACACCATCCAGCGAGATCCTATCCCGTACAATGACGACCTGGCGGCTAGGTTTGGAGCTAAGCCGCAGCTGTGGAGACACCCACGCCTGATGTGGAGGTAGAGCTATGTCATACTTATATGGCTATGGCTAGTTGCAATGCACATGTCTATGGGAAGGGGCTCAGCCGCTTCCTAGGTCAGTTTATTATTGTTAGCCATAGCCACACAAGTTGTATGCAGCCGTGGAAGCTTTGCCGGCCCTGTCCCCGCCTGACACTCATGCGAGAAGACGCTATGGCTTAGCTCTGTACATTGCGTGCGTTCTTTGCGCACGAACCAGTCCCGTGGGCACACACGGTTTCCCTTCCAAGGGGCTCTCAAAGTGGTAAAAACACGCACAGAGCCCACAAAGGCATACTTCTTTGCCCTTGATGTTTCGAGAGAACGATCAATTTCTGGTTTCTCTCCTTGCCCCTCAGATTACTCATTGGGAGTGGTGGAGCTGCCCAGTGGCGTCTGAATGGCCCAGGCAAGTGGGACGGGGCACCAGACACAGTGAGGAGTGTTCCTGTGACGGGCTTGATGCACTACGGGGTCCTGACTATCATTGGTCTGGTCCTCGGACTCCTTGCATGTATTGTGTTAGCAATATTTTGAAAGTAGAATGTACATTTTAAAACTTCAGAACACTCCCGTACCAATGGAACGTTAATTTGAGAATAAACAGAGCAAGCAATTTCTTAATTGAAGCACATCACTCCCATGAAGACGTATTCTGTGATATGAGAACACCTGGCATTTCCAGATTTATTTTCCAGTTGTGGTTTAGTTTAAGAGTGGAAGTTTCTTTCAGAGTACTTATCTGCTTTATATCAACCGTAAAAATTCCCAAATGTAGCAATGCCAACCTTTTTTTGGAATAACTCAGGGTATTTTCAATATATTTTAAATGATATTGTATATCTATAATCTTTTATCCGAAACTCTGTTTTACAGCCATGGTGCTTGTGCAATGTGTATACTGGACTTTGCATTTGTAAAACTGAAATTGTCCCCAAAATGAAATTATATTGTAAATAATATTCCTCTGTTAATCCAGAATATTTTGAATTATTTTATGAAATGATCCCAATAATCATGTAACTTATAAATTCGTTCTTTTACACCCAATAGTCTTTACACCCAGCTCTAGAACCCAGATGGAAGCTATTTAAATTATGCAATTAATAGAATATTTTTAAATGCACAAGAAATATTGATTGTGTTCTGTTTGTGATGTATATAGATGAAATGAATGCAATTATTGTAAGCCAGAATTTAAATTTATTTAATGTTCATATTTAATATAGACTTTGTGATTTATAATTGCCAAAGATACCTTTTATACACTGAACGTAGGTGATATATTTTGCACATTGTTTTATAACTGTAATCCTCATGTAAAAGACAATTATTAAAACATTGTAATGTACAGTCGGTATTTTGCGGCTATAAAAATTTACACCACCTTGAATGTTTAAATGGATGCAATGAAGAGTCCGTTGCGACGATAGATACAGGATGAGTAAAAAAAAAAATCGAAACCCAAATGGCAGGACCAATTCTTGTTTTGCTTGTAGCATTTTCAAAATCTAGGACATGAATGCCCAATTAATAAGCTTTCTTTTAGTGCAAGAATCATTCAAATCACTCATGGTGTTTTCAAATTATGGAATTTTGAACACAAAGACCATTTTAAAGTTCTATCTACGGATCACAAAGTGTTCTTTCAGCAAAATGAAAACAGTTCTCATATGCAATTGTTTTCGTTTTGCTGAAAGAACACTTGCCTTTTTCGTGATCCGTGGACAGAACTTTAAAATGGTCTTTGTGTTCAAAATTCCATAACTTGAAAAGTACATGAGTGATTTGAATGATGCTTGTACCAAAAGAAAACTCATTGATTGGGCTTTCATATCCTAGATTTTGAAACTGCTACAAGCAAATCTTCATTCAAAAATGGATCCTGCCATTTTGGTTTCGGGTTTTGTTTACTCAACCTGTATATTAAGTACTCTATAAAAAAATAAAAGATTTAAAGAAAATGTAAAAACTAATGTATTGTGTTGCCAAATTTAGAGGCCATGTCCCTTTCGTCCCGATGGCAGGTTTGCCTCCGTTTTACAATATGAATCTGTTTATCGTCAATTGAAGAAAAAATTGTCTATGAAATAATAATTATGTTCTGAATCTGAACAAAATCGATAAACAATAGTTTAAGATCATTGGTTTTTTTTCTAATTTGTTCTGGATTCAATTACTCTGACTTTTATCTTCTCCGATGAAGTCGTCACAAAATGTGGTTCAGAAAATCTGGGTTCTGGGATGGGGCGATATTGAAAAAGCTGCAATCAAATGGGGATTTTTACACAATTAAATCGTTACCTACAAAAAACATAACCTTTTCATAAAGAAGAACTTTCGCTATTTATACATGTACAGACAAGTTAAATATCTTTTGTCCGCATCTTCTAATTTAACTTGGTGCAACTTGGAACACATTTTGCACACGACGTCCAGATCGAAAGGGAATCGATGCCCAAGTCGTTCCCGGACTTTAACAGTTCTCATGAGTTTTTTGAGGCTCTGTGCTTCTTTGATTTTCTCAGACTTCCAAACAGGAATTTTCGTTTTTGTTTAGGCATTGGTGATAGATTAACACTAGCGGGCGTTTGTGGCTGGTCAATTGCCTCGGCCACTGTTGTCACGGCAACCGCATCCTTGGACGTAGCGGGCGAGGGATGCTGTTGTTTCTCATCAGGAAGGCTGCCAGGTGTTTCGGTCCGTTCACCGGCTTTCTTAACAGTTGAGGCCCTCGTCTCCTTGCTCTTTCCCTTCCTCTTCCTAAAGAATTTAAACCGCCACCATTTCTTCTTATGTCTTTTCCCCTCTGATGATGGTTCCTTCCCAGGGAAGTCCGCATCTTGTACTCCTGCAATATATTCTTCACTTATGGCGTCTGTGTAATAAGAACTCTTTTGAGAAATGTCCGTTAGGATATCAGCATCTTTGCTGAGAGCCTTGGCTCCGTCTTCGAGATGGTCTGGTAACTCGTCGTCATCTGTATCGTCGCACGTGACGAAGTGTTCCTCGGCATCTGGGTCCAGGTAATCTTCAGGATTGCACGCACGGAGAAAGGATGCGTTGTTTCTGAGAGACCTGAGAACTTCATCCATCTTGGGTACGAGAGGAGAGTCGGTGATTCCAGTCAACTCTTGGTCACCGTTTATGGAACATGTGCCACCACTGCTCATGAAACTTCTACGAGGTCGCGGTGAGCTGGTCGATAGGGGAGTTAGTACATTATTTAAGCTGTCGATGTCGTCAAGATCTTTTGAAGATGAAAGAGGGCAGGATTGGTCTCCTTCAACTTGCATTTCTTCAGGTGGAATGTCTTCATCTTTAAGACTACTTGTGAGTCTATCTTTATCCTGGCTCTCATCAGAGAGTTTTCTAATCACCTTTATGTCATTCATATCCAGATGTGGATCAAGCAAGCTGTTGAGATCAACGCCAGCCTCACCAATAATTGTTTCTAGTTTTTCAGTGCGATCCTCGCTTGGTTTGTCGACATCATCAACCATTCCAGGAGATGAATATTGTTCCAGGTCTGTTTTATCTTGCAACTGTTCTCCTTCCCTTGCCAAATGTTTGTCTGCTGCTGCATTTTCTACCTCTTCACTCGCTTTTCTAGATGGGTTAGACGTTATCTTTGGAATTGGGTGCATACTGTCACAGGAAGAATGAAATGGCCCATTTGCTGTTTCTGTACTCAGATATAGATCATCAGTCGTTTCGGCCTTCAGTGAATAAAATCTTTCTGAAGATGACTTCTGAGGCAGTTTGATTTCCTTCTTCTTTTCCTTAATTGCCAACAATCCTTCAGCTTGTCCCTCTGAGTTCGACAGTCCCAGGTTCATCTGCTGATCTTCCGATTCAATACTTTTACTCGGAGCAAGTACTACCTCATCACAATTTTCCTCCAAGGCCGTCAAATACGGCTCCTCACTTCCATTAGTCTCGGGACATGACGGCAAAAGATCTTCGTTTTCCCTTTCGTCCATTTTGGCGTCACTTGCCAGACTGCTTGAGATACAACTATCATCAGGTGATACGAGTTGATCAATCAGCGCTTGATTGTTGGTGTTTTTGTTCCGAAGCCTCTTCTTCCCTGGCGAAGCTGGTACGCTACTTTCGGCCACAACCTTATTACCAGCCTTTGCTGCTCGATCCATGCCAAGACGCTTGTCCTTAGTTGTCGGCGCATCATTCCCTCCAGCCACGTTTTCACCTAAGAGTCCCTCCTCCCGAACTCTCCTCGCTTTGATTGGCAACCTTTCAGCTTCCGTTTTCGGTTCGTCCAACTTCCCGAGGGCTTCGAAGAAAGCAGCGTTGGTCCAGATCCCCTTCCCTGGGGAATAGTCCACCCCAGACTCTGAGCTCTTCTTTCCCCCAACGACAGCACCATCTCTCTGTTCGCGTTCGTCTTTCTTACTGCCATGTAATTTATCCCGCAGATGCTTAAAATCAATGTGCCTTTTGCCATCCGTGTCCTTATCATCCTTGTGTTTCTGCACTCTTGGTTTTTGCTTCGCCGATCTTGCAGACACTTTCTCTAATTTCTCCAAATATGACACTGCCTGTTTAGCGGGCGTGTTCGGTTTTGGCGAGCTATCTGTCGAGCGGGAACTTGAACTCATTCTATGTCTTGAAATTTTCTCGAAAAACGAGATGCGATTCTTGACTTTAGGTGCAGACTCCGGGGAACTGTCTTCTTCTGTCTTTGGAGATGACGTGCTTTCCTTTCTGGGGCTCTTCGCGGTGTGTTTCCCTGATTTGCTTGATTTTAGGGGCGTCTTGTATTGCTTCTTCGGGTAACGAGGCGAGTTATTCGATTTTCTTTTCCCTGATTTCGATGGCAGAAACCCATCCGGTGTGGTTTTCTCCCTGATACCCATTACCTTCCTCGAACGCCCGGCCGGTGTTCTCAGTTTGCCGGTGCCTTTTCTCAGCTTGCGCGGGGTCATCGTCTTATCTTTGGCCGGTGAGAAATCTTTTCTCTTTCTCTTAGCTCCTCTCTTATCAGCATCCACTCTGGGTTTATACTTGGGCGTTGATTCCAAATCCTCGCTGGACGATTCTTCATAGATGGACTCAACAGGAACTATATCTGGACTTGATGACATATCTGCCTCGTTTTCTTCATTTTCGTCGCACTTCATAACCTTGGGAGTTTCTTGCTTGTCCCCGAACTCGGATGACTTGCTTGTAGATGGTTCCTCCATCTCATCTTTCTTCTTATATTGGGCGTTCTGTGTAAGCACAGCCTTCTTCGACTGATCTCCCATGTCTTCATCTAACTGTTCTGGACTTTGCCTCCCAGCGATTTTCTTATCCTTAGTTTGTCCCGTTTTCTGCTTACTTTTCAACTTTGTATCCGGTTGTGCCGCGCTTTCTCTCATCTCGACCTCATCAACGGCTGCAGGTTCATACAGCATCTCTCGGTACTTAGCAACCAGGGCTTTGACGTCATTAAACTGGTCCTTTATGAAGTTGATGCTTTCCATGGGGAGTTCCAATTGAACAGGTTCTGTCTTCTGGTCATCATCTTGGCTTGGACTTTCAATGTCAGAAACCTGGATGGATTTGTCAGAGGTCTTAGTCTTGATCGAATGGGGACACTCTGCTTCGCAGACGGCATCAGTAAACTCGTCGTCACTGCTGGTTGTGTGACCTTTGACATCCTGGGTCAGTAGGTCATCCGATGATCCGAACTTGTCTCTTGCATCCACGTACGTGTCTGAGGATTCACTGCTTTGTTGTTTATCAACTGTTGTTGGCTGAGATGCATCTTCTTTTGTCCTCTCATCACCTTGACGACTGCGTCTTGGACTTGCAACCTTGTAGGGCCCAGCTGGATCACCCTCCTGGTAAGGGAACCACTGGAAACCGTGAAGAGAACTCCCTGGGAGATTAGCCACTGCTGTCTTGAATGATGGGGTGCATCTCAGATCAGTTTGTGAGAGCTCCGTGCTTGATATACTCGCCATGCTATCACTTATCACTTTATGGACCAGCAGTGAGCTGACGGCGCGGTGGAGGGCGGACTTGACCACGCCCTCTGCCCGCTGCCTCTCACCATAACTCCCTCTGGCATAGGAAGCTTTAAGATCTATCATTTCTTGGGATGTGAAGCTCGGATGAGAGGCGTGTCGCCAAACCACGTCAATCAAGAGGGGGTTTGCAGATGGTGGCAGGCTCCTTGCTTTTGTTTGACGTTGAGGTGCCTCGTCAACCGCACCAGACGCCATGCCCTCGTCAGTTGTTCCTCTTTCCTCTGGAACGGAGTCAACTGTCGTGTGTAGGTCATCTGTTTGTTCAAAATGACCTTCTTCAGTTTGGGTTTCAGATTCGCGGAAAAGGGTATCTCTTTCGGTCGGAAAAACCTCCCGATGTTTCTTGTAGCCGACTGATAATTTTGCTCGCAGGATGGCTTTTTCCGCCTTCAAGTTGTCCTCCTGAAATTTTGCTTTTGTCTCTTGAGAATCTTTAACATCAATTGGTTTCTCAGTCGCTTTCTCATGGAGTGTCTTCAAGACGCCGCCACCGTCACGCGTCTTCTGGACAATCTTCCACAGGAGTTTACTCTGGGACGGCGGTGTGGCTTTCACATTTAGGGTGCGGTCTCCGCTGGACAGGACGGACACGGAAGAGCACCGGCTGACGTCACAGCTGGAAGCCACGCTAGGCGGGATCATGTCGGCGAGGCTCACGGTGACTTGGTTTGCCGCGATCCGTCGGTTGACGTCCAGGAGCCACTCGGCCGAGATCGCGCTCGCCTTGGTTGGTTTAGTCTGCATCCTGTCCTCTGATACCAACGTGGGAGTCTCATAAGTAACTTGTGCCCCTTCAAAAGAAAAAAGTGCGAGCTATAAAAACGAATACCAATACCTGAGATGTGTCCACAAAAAAGTTAATGTGCCTGAAAAGTGTTTTTGCTCGCATAATTTTTTTCTGAAAGATAATTCAGATTATTCCACAATGCTGTAGAGTTCATGTAGTTATAATTAGCATATGTCACCCAATTTAACGGGGTGTTATTACAAAATCTATATTATTCTTATTCTCTGCTGCAGACACCAGTCTGAGGATCAGACATTCACGTTTACAGAATCACGGTCGAGCGTCTGATTATTTACATCCTAACATGCAAATTGTATTCGACCCCGTCGACTTAAGAAACGTGACGTCTATTTCGGCCAAGAATGTGGACTAAGCTGATTGGTCAATTTGGATGCAATGTTTTCTTCTGATAACTGGTTACCGAAGACCTGATCTATGATAGAAGGCCTGCGCTGAATGGTCAAAATCTCGAGGTCAAGACGCAGTCTTGTTTTTCATAATTAATCGCCGAATCTGCTCGCATATCACAGACCCTTATTTACTGCGATATTCATAGACTAGCAGGAAGGTACGAACTGGAAATATTCATAAAACCAATGAGGCTTAAACCGCCAAACCCAAGACAGGCATAAAATATTTCAGTTAGCTATATTTCACTGTGTTATCACTCACCGTAATGATCACCACTTTCTTGTTTCACTTCCTCATCATCATCATCGTTTCCGTTGGAGGTGTTGGTCGACATGCTCCAGTTTTCCTCCCTGACCGTGGCGCCCCCGCGAGTTTGGTCAACGGCTCGGAGGCTGCGCCTGACGACGCCGTTGATGAAGATGTTGGCGATGGCCCTCAAGAGCGCCTCACTCACGATGCGAATAGCCGATTCCTGGTAGACGGACGGCGAATGGTGAGGTTTGATGGTGTCTCCACTCCCCGTCTGACATGTCAAGATAATTTCTTGAGGCTTGCCTTCCTCCTCCAGACTCTCTGCATCTCTGGCTGCCTTCTCAACAGAACATTCAGACTTAAAACTTATGAAGGATGGAACACGGATTGCATCAGTACTTTCATGCCGTTGTGGTGTGGTGTAACAACCAGGGATCGCGTCACCATCTGAAAGAACCTCTGTACCTATGTCCTTGCAGACCAAAACCCAATCAATCAAGTCAACATCTTGGTCCATCTCCTCAGAATCATACTCAAGCGCACCCCTCTTGCTCCGCGGTGTCAAGACGTTTGTCTCCACCCACTTTTTGCGGGGAACTGATGACTCCCGTTGTATTCTTGGACTAGGAGGGATGCGGTGCTCCCTGTCTTCTAGCTTGAGGAGAACAGACAAGAGCAAGGTGGAGAGAACACTGACCCCGCTCATGCCTTCTGATGAACCGCCTTGAGCCTCTGGGGTCAAGGGGGCTTCATCATCTACCAAAAGATAACACACAAACATGCAGTTTGTTAATCATGTTAATCTCATGACGAAATTAATTTACGTATAAAATCCATCGAAAAGGATCATGAAAAACCGAATGTTTGATAATGTTTTCAAGCGCAACCTCATTACATAAATTTAGGCCTAGCACTTGCTAAGAAATACGGGCTTCTTATAAAGTCACGTTTATCAAAACGTTATGATTGGTTGCGGCCGTTTTTACTCGCACTTCAACTACAGCACCACCAGTTTCTGCACCTTTTTGTGATTACGTGTTCCCGTACCAGCACCCTTGCACCCACCCCTTGCACCCACAGTACAACAATTCTCAGGAGCATTGGGCTTCTAAGAGGCCTGTACTCACCGGTAGATGAGATGTATAAGGTTAATAAAAAAAATAATTAAACAATACTAAGGCAAATTTAAGAAGATATTGGAAATATTTTTTAGTTTTTTTAACTATAAAAGCGTATCAAATTAGGCCTACTTAATTTTACTAATAAAAAAGTAATATTTTAATAAGTTAATTACACAACATTCAACGTTTTCCTTTTTTTAATTGTTAAATAAGATCATTTTCTACTCACCGACTGTGGACGTCATTCTTGATAGGCACGAATTTTACTCGGCCGTCATTTTCGGTTCCATCGCAAAAAGGTAAATTTACAGTTTTTTTACTCTTCAAGTTTCCGTGACTGTACTTGCAAGTGTGCGAAAGAATAAACACAAGTTCAACGCGCGCGTTTCTTATGCGTTATTAGTGACGCGCAAACGCAGAAACTATTTGCTGGCTGCTGCTGCGCGTGTCCGATGCGAATGCCGCGCCGGTGAGAGTGAAGTGCGCGAAATTTCTTTTGACTTTCGGACGACGGAACGTTGAAACAAAAAACGGCCCAGCTAATGTTTTAATTAAAACTTACTTAATGCATTACATAATCACTTGCAATGGATTCGAAGTATGCTTAAATAACGATTCCAATTTTTTTTCTTCTAAGAAAACCTGATGAAATGACAGAGTTACCGTTGATCGTTTCATTAAGTATCGTTTTATTTGGCACATTCGCTGAAGTTTATCGAATTCAATTTCAATATATACATAACAATCAAGTTGTATTAAATAATTTATTTTGCACTTAAAAAAATTAGCAGAATTGCGAAAAATTAGGAAGCACTGTTTTAATGCAATCTTTATACTTTGTACTTTAACCATAAACAAATTACAAGGAATTTGTATTTATATATAATTATTACTCACTTTCAATATAGGCATTTTTTTTAATGGCAAAATGGTCTAAAGCAAACAAGAGTTGTTCTAAAATTGTCAACACCAGACAGAATCTTTTCTGTAGACAATTCATACCAATTATTGATACCACCAATTGATACCACCACCTGTTACAAAGTGTTTTCTGCCGATCATGAAGTACTAATTATTGACGCCATTAAGTATAAAAATATTAGTACATCAGTGTACAAAAATGAGCATGAAAATGCAGCTCATACACCAGAACAATGCAACAAATTTTAAAAAGTTTAATCATACAGTACATGTATAACTAATGAAAGTTTTAAGAATATTGCTTTACACAATTTTATACTTAATCTGAAGGCCTTTCAAATTTGCAATAGTTTTCAATAATTACAAGACATTAGATTTTTACCTCTTCCCAAATATCACAGATAGAAAATATAAAAGCACATCTAACATCTGATGCAGCATTAGATTTTTAATTACGTTACTGCCAGCCTCTAAATGAATCATAACAATAGAGGGCGCCACTGAATGCTTCACAACATTTAGAATGCTCTTCAAATGTTCAGTCTGATTTTGATAAACCACAACCCGGCCAGACCTTGTTCGTAAACAATGCCGACGTGGTTGTCGTCGATCGCAGTAAGACAGGAATACTCGCTGACCCCCGGATTGATCACTAACGACCCCGCCCACGTATCGCCAAAATCGTTGCTCCACCTCAGCGTCAGATTCTCCCGGTGGCTTGTGCTGGCCGGGTTGGTGAAGTACAAGACGCCATTTTGGAGGAGGATGCTGCCAGCACAGGCGGGGTCGATCAGGGTAGCGTCAAAGCGAATCTTCTCCGTAGGGATGGTGTTTGCACCGTCGTCACTGCTCATGATGATGCGGCAGGCACAATGGTAGTGGCGCTCGTTGCGGACGTTGAAGAGAATTGTGCCGTTGTATAGCTCAAGCATCTAAATCAAAAGAAATCAGCCCAGAGGAACTGTTTAGAAGCCAATTTTATTGAGCTGCTAAATGCACATTTGCTGTGCATAGCGCTAATGTCTGATAAATGTCTCAACTTCTGCATGATTTTCACATCTCAGCTGATTTTTCTCAACTTATCCGACCAACTCTGGGATTCTGCTCTATGAACTTTACCTCAGTATACAAATTAATTTAATATTTTGTGGCATGGCATCCAAAAAATCTACAATGTATGGTTTTTCTCCGTAAAATCAAAAAGTGTGGAGGGAGGAGGGAGGGGGGCATTTTCTTACAGTGAACTCCGAATGGCTGTTGCCAGAGTCTGGCCGAGACACAATAAATAATATTTACCTGGACTTCTGTCGGACCGAAGTCTCCAGGTCCCAAAGGGCTTCTGAATGGAATGTGATAAACTATGCCTGCCTTCACCCAGGTATCGCCATGATCTAAAAAAAACAAAAGACAAACAAATTTAGTTATAATTTTCCCCCTTATAAATAACGCTAATTACCCTTTTCACAACTGGTGTTTGGTAGATGATAATGACCAGTTGATGACTGTTTCATTGACAAGGAATTTTAAACACATTCTAAAGAACCACATACCATCACTAACAATGCAGAACATGGACAAGACGTCCAAATCATTGGAGTGGCCGCAGGCGACCAGCCGTCCCTTATAAGGTGCATATTTCTTCTGGATACCATATCCTGGTCCAGCCGACCAGCTCAGGTTCTTTAATCCTGGGTTGTTGTAGGATATATCGACTGGCTCTTCCCAGGTCAATCCCCAGTCCCTGCTACGCAACATGTAGTTGCCTCGTAGGTAGTCTCGCTCTGGGCAGGCGGTGTGGGCACAGACAGAGTAGAGGACGATGAGTGTGTTCTGGACCTCGTCTACCATTACCGCCCCAAGGTTGAGGCCATCCTTGGCTTGGTAGTCGTCTGTGATGTGAATCATGTGATGAAATGACATACAAAAAATCAACAGAAAGAACTGACCCAAATATTGGGGATATTGATGTTAAAGCTCAAGGCCAATGATAAGACTGCACACAATACCGGTAGTTCTACACTAAGTATTCAGGCACTTAAATCCAGCTTTAAATTACACAGAAATACCATAATGTATGCAAGAATGTGTATTTGTATTTTTATTTATTTTCAAGACGTCATTAATTTTTCCTTTTGCGATAACCACCCAGCCATCAGGAAGTGATAACAATTAACATGTAGTTAAAAGTCAAATTTACATAAATTTGAATTTAGTAGGCAAAATATTGAAGCTTTTACTAGTGAGAAAACACTTAGAATTGTTCAGACCAGTCTCAAAGAGTTTGTACACAGGCAACAGGGTGTCAAGTAACATCCGTCTATTGTCTATGGAATTCTTTCAATTTTTTTAAAAATAAATCTGCATTATTAGATGTTAAATATTGCAAATTCATAAAAATATTTTAAAATATTTAAAAAACATTTTTGGGCAAAAAATGTGATTTATTTTGCAGGAATATAAAATATAAAACTAAGATTTCATTAAAAAAATTGTTTTAACATATTTCTTTTATTAATGATATTTTTGACCTGTATTTTTCAATGCTGGTCAGAATACAGACAGCCATGATGGCTCTCGACATTTAGGCCTAAGCACTGAAAATAATAAATTCTGAAGTTCAACTTAAGTTAAACTAATTTAGCGGTATTCACATTGACTATGTTTTATCACTCATGACTGAATCATTGTTTACATTTTGACACTGACGCCCTAACCACATCAAATACCCACCTATCAGGAACCGAGTTGGCGCCCACAAGGCCCCAGCCCCATCAGCGTTCAACTTGTCGGGATGCGACATCCTCATCGCAAGGAATTTGGCCCCGGAATCTCGGGACGAAAACTTTCTGGCCTCCGCCAAAGCCACCAGCGTTCCGTTGGGCAGTCTCGTCGCCACCGGGATGCGAAACGCGGCAACGTCGCCCACGACTTGGGGCTCCCATAGGAGCTGGGTCTCGACTATGTGGGGTTTGAATTCCGCCGACGAGAGGGCGAGAAACGACGAAAACACCGCCGCGATCCGGAGAAAAACTACCGACGAAGAAGTCGCCATGATGTTTTTGACTGTCAGCTGATAGTACTGTACTTACACGTGACCAAAGCAAGCGTGCACATTGAGTCATATAGAGGGCGCTCTACGTAATACCGTTGAGGGTACGGTTCGCTCGTACAGGTTCAGGCTTTCGTGCCACAGTGCCTAGGGCACTTTTGGGGGATCCTTGGCTTCATTACCAGAAAGAAATAAAATATAATATAATAAAATTAGAAGAAAAAAAATAAAAGTATAATAGAATTACTAAGTTTTAGAAATCTTTGCCTGCACGATGCAAAGAAAATATAAGAATGAGCGGGCCGGGAAATCGAGCACACGTCATTGATAATTGTTGGATCTGGAAGCAAGGCTCACCATATCGTCTCAAGCCAGAATACGAGACAACTGTCCGATGGACTGACCAACCATGGAGCTTAACTATAAGCGACTGGCATATTAAATCAAAAGCAATGAAATAGCTTTGGTATTATACTCGTCACGTAATGTATGTAAGCACACCCCATGAAACTGGCTTAGTGGTTGTCCATTCTCTCAAGCAATCTACCTATATGACAAATCCCCTAAAGTGGTCGAGGGAATCAAGTGAGCAGCAAGTCCATGGATTATGACCCTTGAAAGAAAAACAACTCCATCCATCGTAGGCCTACAACCTTTTTAGCGTGTTTACCAAGTGTGGAACATTCGTCATTTTGCTGAATATGTCTAAAGTCTACAACTGTCTTCTTGAAGACCGCGCAGGTCTCTTGATTAATGACAGCAATATATCCTCCTCGATCAAAATATATTCCTTTTTGGGTACTCAGCCATAGACCTGTATGCATTCACTTGGGACATGCAGAGTTTATTGCTACTGGCTGGGCCTTTCCTATACAGATAATTATTTGTAAAATCCGGTCGTCGACGCGACGATGTTCGGTCAAAGTAAACATGGTGTAGGCCTAATTATGTTTGGGTTGAAAACATCATTATTCAAACTATAATGCTATCATTATAGTTATAGTTTTTTGTGTGGTTTTGGCTGATGTTCATGTACAGACGATGTTTACCTAATGTTTGGAATACACCTCATAATGAAAGTATACACAACGATATAACGAGCCTCCGTCATCCCAATCTGGCTCCCATAAGAAACAGCGCGTGTACACAAAGCATGGCGTCAAGTTTTAATATCAAAAACGACTTTGCTTTTTCAATACAACGCCGATCGCCCGCCACATGAGACGAATTTACCGAAATTATAGGACGAATCAGAATGCTACAAGTTTAAATGATCATAGTGCACCTTAAATGAAATCCATTGGGGTCTTTTTGAAATTAAAATTGAGAATTGAGCTCGACGATGTTCGGGGACGAAAATGAAAGTGTCGCTATAGGGAAATGTGATATAAGTGTTAAAATAACTAGGAAAACCTATAACTTAGATTATTAATCGACAGACAATGATTTTTTTTGTATGGGTTTTGTTTCTCTTCAACCAAGTTAGCTGAATGATAGTACAAATGCGGTAGGTGCAATTCGAGAGCGAAGCAACAGTGGTTGAGAAACTTATACTGCGAAGCGAGGGGGCTGTTAAAATACTGAACCCCCCTGTGCGGTAACGTGATTAAACAAGGATGAACAACTAAAAGAAGAAAGTAGAGACCAAAAACAACAAAAACCTGCAGTGAACAGCCCTGATATGATCATTTTGATCAGATTAACAACTGACAAATAACTGTACGTGACTGGACGCTGACAACCTCGTGCACAGATGGATATATCGCATACATCAAACATCATAGGGTTGCACTTTAACCACAGGGCGTGCAACCGACCATGCAAGGGTGAAAATGTGAGCGTGCCGACGACTCGATGTGATCAGAACAAATACGGTTCATAAAACATGAAGGCTGTCGTCTTTGTCTTTTATTCGGACCGTATGTCCCTTTGAAAACTTGACCCGTGTTTGATGGACCTTTTAATGCGAGAAATTGTTCCAAACCGTAGTGACGGCGTGCTTCCACGCAAGCGTGCACCAATGGGTCCACTGTAAGGGATGCAAGGGGCAAGTTGGGCTGCCCAATCTGACCAATGTTAATTATTTATTTACATATTGAAAATCCCATTCATAGCTCGTGACTTTGGTTCCTCGGTGTACTTCACTACGCCACTCCCTTGAAAATACTCTAGCTTTTGAAGAACTTCCCTGTTACGTCACGCTTTCAAACACACTTTGCCGAATTTACGGGTCAAGAGCAAGAATCGATGTGTTTTTCTAAACCTTCAAGCCAAAGTAATGAGGCCAAAATAAGCAATTAAGACTACCGAGAATTTTACCAAATTACCCAGCATTGGGGTCACTGCTCTGCGGGCTTTCCTTATCGATGCCTTTCCAGTTGTGATTAATGACTCAACGAGATGAAGACTGCTCACCGACTATACCGGCGTCTTCGTGATGCGGAAATTAAAGTAGGAGAGAAAAATATGCCTTCAACCCCAGAATGTAGATTGGGTTATTTTGACCAGGTCAAAGGTAAATAATTATTGACTCGTATTGTGACTTATCTATTTCGAATCTTAGTTTGACTCTTTCGTCGCTTGTTTCCTTGAATTCCTTTTTCCTTGAAGAGGCGAGGATTGATCATAAAACAGAAAACCCCCAAACAGAACCCCCTAAACTAAACACATCTTCCTGGAATGACATCACATCAACAGCGCCCTTGCCCGGAAAAGCATGGATAATTTTAAAAGTTTAAAATAGTGCACTTTTCGATGAAATCAACCAAAACAGGGATGTCAAATAATGTTCATACATTTAAGAGTATAGCAGAAAGCTGTACAAAACGTGTTCCTAAGAAATAGTCATCAAATGGATCTTTTAATGGCAATGCAGTTATTATGCGCCTTAAAGGTATCCAGAATATTTTAACAATACATTTGTACATGTATTCGAAAGAGATGGAAAAATTGCAAATGCTTTCAATTTCGACTATAAAAAGTTAGACTAATCAGTTTAATTTTAGAACGAATTGAGTTACAATCTTGTCACGTCGGCTCCATCTTTGATCTTGAAGGAGAAAGTATGAGTGCATTGTAGACTGACTGGACAGACATTTATAAATACATGTATAACCTTTTACAAAAACGGCATGGTATGGGTGGCTTTCAAACAATCTGGAGCACCAAATAATGAAGTCTCCTGAGGAATAGATGTTCCTCTAAATGGAATTCATTCAGACCTACCAAATGGAGGATCTTTTATACGATCCTTGATGTACAAATGGCAATAAATCTACAAGCGACGGTACATCTTTTTTATTCAGAATCCTGCTTGAATTAACGGAAGTGTTGAAAAGAGGCCTGGGTTTCATGTTATGAGCATCTGCAGCTGCGAGTTTTAAACACAAATTCAGCCAATAATAACTTAAGAGACTTGAAGTCTTTATAGAGAATTAAAAGACTTAAGATAAGTGAAACATAATGCTTATTATCTTTAGTCTTTTTTAAGACAATACAAAAATGCATTTATCAAATTTTTTTTGAACTGAATTTACCAAAAACAAATCGACCACAATAATTAATTCCGTACCCAAACACTGAAGTTTACCATTTTTATTGTACTCACTAACACAAAAATTACAAATACCGATTCTAAATATACTTTTGACACAATCATTTTGCCTATTTTTGTAAAAAAAAAACTAAAAAGGTGTAGTTAAAAAAAAAGACAATACTAAATTATAGTTCATTTAATAATATTTATGACATGCATGTATGCCTCGTGATACTGAAACAACAACCTATTCAAATTCTCATTAAGTGTAATTTTAGGATAAGCAATCATACTTCGAAAATCAAATCAAAAAGTTATCATATAAAATAGTATATCGACGTAAAGATCAAGTTGATGATGTGCTATATAATATGTGCCTAATTGTCATCGACCAGTTGCTTTAAATAGGTTATGACATGTGTGCATGCCTTGTGATACTGAAACAACACATTTAAATTCTCATTAAGTGTAATTTCAGGTTAAGTAATCATAATTCGCAAATCACATCAAAAATTTATCATTAATGATATCGACGTAAAGATCAAAGTGATGATTTGCTATATATGTGCCTAATTGTCATCGACCAGTTGCTTTAAATAGGTTATGACATGCATGCATGCCTCGTGATACCTAAACGACAAATTCAAATTCTCATTAAGTGTAATTTTAGGTTAAGTTATCATAATTCGCAAATCAAATCAAAAATTTATCATTAATGATATCGACGTAAAGATCAAAGTGATAATTTGCTATATATGTGCCTAATTGTCATCGACTAGTTGCTTTAAATAGGTTATGACATGCATGCATGCCTCGTGATACCTAAACGACAAATTCAAATTCTCATTATTAAGTGTAATTTTAGGTTAAGTCATAATAATTCGAAAATCAAATCAAAAAGTTATCATATTAATATCATTTCGACATAAAGATCAAAGTGATGATTTGCTATATATGTGCCTAATTGTCATCGACTAGTTGCTTTAAATAGGTTATGACATGCATGCATGCCTCGTGATACCAAAACGACAAATTTAAATTCTCATTAAGTGTAATTTCAGGTTAAATTATCATAATTCGCAAATCAAATAAAAAAATTATATAAATATTATATTGACGTAAAGATCAAAGTGATGATTTGCTATATATGTGCCTAATTGTCATCGACCAGTTGCTTTAAATAGGTTATGACATGCATGCATGCCTCGTGATACCTAGACGACAAATTTAAATTCTCATTAAGTGTAATTTTAGGTTAAATTATCATAATTCGCAAATCAAATAAAAAAATTATATAAATATTATATTGACGTAAAGATCAAAGTGATGATTTGCTATATATGTGCCTAATTGTCATTGACCACTATTAAATCGCCTCTTGAAGGTGATGCACGTGCAAAACAGTGCAACGGGATCGTTCAAGCATCTTGTGAGGTTACATAAAATTGAATTATACCACAATTAATACAATTGATATAATATTTTACTTAGTTAACATGAAAACAATAAAAGGTTGATCTCGTTGTCCACTTAAATCTTCCAGCGGCTGACATTTCATTGCAAGGACGCAGAACGCGAAAAAGTCAATTTTTTTTATTCAAATTACAGTACTGCTTTTATTTGCGCGTAGGTCATTTTGCGATGAGCCATACGTAACGAAGCAAACACTGCCGTTATATTTAGATTAATTTACAGCCAAAAATCAAATTTCTTTGCCTGTTCAGAGTGAGTGTAATTGCGCTCATCTTTGCTTTGCATTCGTCAATCATTTTTTTTATATTTTTTTTCTCCTCTTCCGTCTCCAAGTCGTTGTACTTTGAATCGTCAAGTTAATGAAGCGAAGCGACAACCAGTGCCGATGGCGCGCGTAAATGAATTAAAACCGTTACCTGAACCACGAGGGACCATTAGTAACGGTACGCGTACGGCGGGGATACGTCTCCGGCCTAGGACTCAAATTTGCTTGTAAAATACACCATTTTGCGTGGCTTTTTTTCATCTAGCAGACTATGGGCAACGTGCATTTCACATTAATAATGTGAAGATGTGTAAGACCTACGTGGGTTTGGTAAATGAACCGCACAAAATATAACTAGCTATTTTGTTTTCAAGTCGCGTACGTATCCCGTATACGCACACGTTTCTATAGCGGTCCTTATTACTCGTAAAAGCACATGCCGTATCCTAGTTTCTACACACTCCATCGGAACCGATTACAGCCGTTAAGTATTGCCAAAAGGCACGAGGTTGCAGTGTTACAATGCAATAAATCATGCGCATACAGAAAGCTGCGAAATGTGCCTCAGAAAAGCGACTCCCGCTGTGGCCAATTTACTGGAAGTGATTCCAGCCAAAAAAAAATCGATTCCTTTCGAAGGATTTAAGTCAAGAGTGGAGTTAACCGGCCAATTGTAATTGCATGCGCTTCCATTTCAGATCCGGGAAAAACAGACACACAAAAAATGCCCCCCGTTCTTCTGTTGCTTTGACTATGCATTGACCCATATTCCGAGGCGATTCTATGGGCTAAACTCTCTCCGCATTTACTCAAATTGATTCGTTGATATATGATGCCATCAGTTTTTAGCACCGTCATTCAATATATTCCGCGCTGGCAAACAGATCTTCATTCAAGTCTAGAAGAAAACACTGTTTACATTGCACTGTACTGCCTCAAACTTATACATTTATATGACAGAAAACAAATGACGGTAAATAAATAGTCTTGTTTTACATTATATCTTTAAAACATTAAAACGGTTATAAAAAATTAACAAACAGCCTCATTTAGCAATAAAACTGGCAAGAATTAAATAGTCATTTTTGTCTAATGTGAATCGTCATGCTCACTCCCATGCCAGATGCTATCAAAATATTCTTAAGAGTTTTGAAAGATAACGGATACCATTTTGCAAACATCTACAAATGAAACTGCCAAAACATTATAAAATATCCAACTTGATCGTATTCAAGTAAATGACAGGATCAAGCGTCCTGTGAAATCAATGCGCCTTTTCGAGAAAAAAATAAAATATCATCATTTCCTCGCGATGGTTATAGGACAAAAGCCATCGCGAGAAAAAAAACAGCATATTTTTCAAATACTGCTCCAATTTAGTTTAATTTAACTTAGTTTGCAATCGGTTACATTGCCGAGAATGAGAATTATTTTCCCTATTGGTAATTCGGGGGTTATATCACAAGAGGGTGCAAGTCAAAACGTATTAATGAAAATTTTGGAAGGGAGGGATTTCTGAAAACCTTGCTTTTGAGAAAACTGTTCTTAAAGGTATACAATGTATTATCTGCTAAGCTGAAATTCTGCTTCAGATTTATAGTATTCTTGTTCCCGATGAATCGGCACAACGTTTGTTTGCAATTGGTGTACATTTCCGTTTCACGTCCGTGAAATTGAAGAGTGAGCAACTTCTCTCAAAGATTCTCTCTGATTAAAATTAGACAACAACTCTTTCTTCAGAATCGTCAAGCAACAATGGACCCTTACTTTGAAGTCGCATTTCAAAAATGTTCAAATACGGTTACACCCTCCAGGAAACATTGCGGAAATAATTAACTAAGTAAGATTTGAGGCTCTGCATGTATATACGAGATACTAATGAAATAAAGGTTTGCGGAAACACCGTGTGCATGGAAACAATTAAATATAAGAGTTCATACAGCAGTGTCCGATAACAATTTTATCTGAAAGTTAACATAACATCATTCGTTAAAGCATTACTGTCTCCTAGCTTCACTGTTATTTCCCGGTCGTTGGTTTCTAAAACAAAACAATCTTTGATCACTCTGGCATTACCTGGCTTTGGATCTCTTAATCTTATGAAAAAAATACCGTGCACCTAACATGAGCAATGTTTTGGATGGAACCATGGGGTTCGCGCGGGAGAGAGGGAGGGGTCATCCCAACCCTTCCCAATGCACCTGTCATTGGCTATTTAATGCATTTGCAAAAGAGTTTCTTCAGACCTTGTCTGTAGGCTCTGTACTGCAGTCCGTAGATGAAGGGGTTGACGCACGAGTTCAACTGCGCCAGGACGATGGCGAAATTCACGAACACCCCTCCGAAGTCCAGCTCACCGCCCAGGTTGTACTGCAGGAAGGCCCACTGGTCGGGAGACCAGCAGATGACGAAGAAGACAAATACGATAAAGAGGGTCTTGGTGACGTTCTTGCGCTGGATGTTGCTGGAGCCTTTGGGCCCCTGGCTGCGGCCTCGCTGACCGCTGGTGCCGGCACCTGCCGTGGCGTCGTAGGCGGTCACCATGGAGTTCTCCACGGGGCTGTTCTGGTCCATGACGGAGATGGAGTTCTGGTGGTCATTCATGGTAGACACTGCGGCCACGGTCGATGCACCTGTAGGCTGGGGCGGCCTGTGGCCCACCTTCCGATTTTGCTGGCGGAACTTCAAGGCTATCTTGACGAAAGCATACGTCATGATGAGCGTGGGGATGAAGTACTCCCAGAGGAACAGGATCAGCCCAAACACCTTTTCCATGGCACTTGTGTACTGCGGCGCCTCGTAGGTGCAGTCAAGCTGATCTTGGAGAAAGTCGTACCGTATGAGAGCCACCACAAACTGCCAGAGAGGGCCAACCAGCCAGGGTACAAGGGGAAGCAGCTTGGCCACCATGGTGCTGGCGAATTTCATGGAGTAGTAGATGGGGTGAATGACGGCGAGGTATCTCTCGATGGAGATAGCCGTCAGGTTGGTGGTCGAGGAGGCAAATGCAGCGAACATGAGGAACCGGGAGGCCCAGAACTTGCAGAACACCTGCCCGAAGAAGTAATTGTTTGGAGGCGGTACTTTGAAGGTCTCCGTCAGGGTGACTGTGACGAGAATGACGGAGGCTACGAAATCAATCATGGCCTGGTTTGCGATTAAGGTGTTAGTGGTGTTACGCTTGTTGGAGCTCCAGAGTCGTATCACCACGATGCAGACAAGGAGGTTGCCGACGATGCCCATGGTTCCGATGCAGCAGCGTATGATAGGGAGAATGATGCTGTCCGGATCGTACCAACCTTCGCCTACCGTGGTCAGTGGCGTGACCAAGGTGGTGTTTTCCGTCAAGAATTTGATAGTTGTCATGCTGATACCGGACGACATTCGTCAGCTCGGATCTTCGAGGAGAAAGATGGCGTTTCGGAGCTCAAAAGGACGATTAGTTACTTGAGTCACCTTAGGCGCATCGGTTCTATAAGATGCACAGCTCGGACAAGCAGCCGACCGAAGCAGTGAATGGTAAAAGAGTCTATCTGTGCAAATACACGACAGCTTTTGGCAGCAGTGAAAGAATGTTTCCTCAGATGAACATTTAAACCACTCCAAAATCCAACGTTGTGTCAAGTTTTAGAGAATGTTTCCTCAGAAATAAATGCACGGTCCACAGTGTAGCAGTTTGCCGACGGCCCGAGCTGTTTCTTGTCCTCTCGTCTTCTTCTTTTTTACCTTCTCTTTTGACGTTTGTTTTCATGTGTCTGCTCGACGAGTCTTCACGGGACTTAAGTGCCACATCCTCTTGTTACAATCCAGGCATCACAATCTTCGTCTCTCCTTCCACCGTCTTGCAAGCGAGCGGCTCGCTGACGTCAGAGTCTACAATAACACCGTCCGTATGCGAGAAACGACACGTTCATAGTCCGCGCGTGATTTATGGCGGGATAACAAAACTGACCCGGTAGGTTATCTGTTAACTCTTTGGTAAATATGAGACCTCATCTACGACTCACTGAGATTATATACGAAGTGCCCGCGTCATGTAAGACAGGTAAGGCATCCCGAAATCCTGATTGGTCAAACCTCTGCTGTAGGTGACATTATCGGCCAATCAGAGGCCAGCTTAAAGCGCAGTTCGCAGCAACTATAGCAACAGTGACCGCGTTTTCCGAGAGGCAGGGAAATACTGCACACGCCGCGTGATTAACAGAGCAACTACAAAGACGCGCCGATGTAATTGCTGTTTCCCCGCACGCCCACATCAAGCAATAATAGTCATTTGGCAATGTCATATTCCTCAGTCGACCGGGTGCTTAAGTAAACACACACACGGCTGTCTTGTTTTACGGTGATACATCATGATACTCCGAAGCATATTAATTCATGTCCCGGGGGAATTTCGCCTTAATTTGACGAATGTCCATTCCTTAAAATAATGTTCCCTTCATCGTCGGATTACCACACAAGTCAACTCGACAGAATGGCCGGCGGCGATAATATGAGTATAATTATGCGCATAGCATCCTTTGGGAGAAACGAAAAAAAGTCAGACTGGGAGGGGAACAATTGGGATTCTTTTTGCTGCTGGTATTAAATCCAATCAAACTTGACCATCTGTGTTTATAGTTTTAATGCAGGAGCTCCGTGTCCACCAATATCCTAAAGTCGTACAATCGTAGGATGGGATTCGCTCGTACCCACCGCCCTTAAACAGCATGCTGGGCAGGGCTAATTTCTTCGAGATGCATGACGTATTTTCCTCGAGCCCCTTTTGGATAAAATTTGTTTGAATAATAACACTTCCGCCTGCGCATGACACGTGCGCAAGGATTATACGTGCATTGGAGGAGGCAGCAACCCACAATGCTTTGCGCGCCATGCTTCCTTCACAAAATGTCGTGCAAGAGATCAGCCCTTCCCAGCTTCCTGTTTGAGGTCGGTGGATACGAGCGAAGGGATGGGACGGCAGGGCCTAATCTGATACCAGGGGGCGCTGTTATTAAATGATACCCGCATTTGAGTCCCTTTATGGCAGTCATTTTCCTACTGTCTATTTTACGATCAATTTTAAATATTAGATGTAAGGGCTTCTTCTTATCTTCCTTTTTTTGCCTTATCCCTTTTATTGTAGGTAGGGGGGAGGGGGTTTCAGCACCTCCTCCTCCCAGTTTGCGCCACAAGACCACTGGCCTATAAGACAACTTCGCTGCAAATGATGATTCATGTACTGTTTTCGTGAAGTCGCAGTTTCGAATTTCTCGTTCGCCATGAAGACAGTGTTTTCACAGCTCATTACTGGAAGCACTCAGTTTAAATTACTTGTCAGCAGCAGGAGTGGGCGTCTCAAATTCAAGGGCTGTCCGAGAGAAAATTACTGGAGTTTAACCTGGACATTAATGTGTCGAGTTCGACATCGTTTTCAGCTGTCAAACAGCTTCAGCACAATATATTGTTTCGTTTCACTTCGTTTAGCTTTAGCTGTACTTTTTTGGATCGTCGATGAGCAAAAGTTCGCACAAAATGAGGAAGAGACATTGCTGAATAGTGAAAATAATCCATTTTTAGTACAACGTTTTTTCCAAAAGGGTTGCTTTTTATTTTCACACTAGGTTTGGAAACTTGCTAAAAAAAAATGTCTAGTTTGAAATCCATTTGTGGCACCCTGTAAGATGAATGCGCGATTTCTGTAGATCCCAAGCTTTACTTTTTCTCTTCTTTTTGACATTTTCTCAACATTTAATTCGATACTAAGTACACTCGAGAGAATCCAATTATGTTTCCCAGGAAGCTCCGTCCGCTGTTTAATTGAAGAATGAAATTTGCCTTCAATTCCGGATCCTTCCTTTGCAAATTGTCTCATTATTGCCATTTAGAATGATCGTTACAACACCGAAGCATATGCCTGATGTTTGCTCCCCACTCAAACAACCACTTCGCGGTCCTTCAACTCTCTTAAAGCGACAGTCGTCGCCATTTTGTTGCCGATGTTAACCCTCTAAACTGCTGTATTTGCTGTTCCGTATCTTTTTTGCATTAGAACATTGCATTGTTTCATTAGTGTTGGTCATCTTTTATTTGCGAAAGAGTAGCTCATTTAAGTCTTTCTTTATGTTGCATGAAATAAAAAGCATACGTTGAAAACATGTTGTCTATACATAATATTATCAAGATTGAACTTAGCAATTTTTTATACTCTCGTTGTATTCGTCATTTTTAGCAATTAATTTCAGTAAATGCATTTCTTGTCATCAAGGTGTAATATTTTGGATGTTACACAGCAGGCAAAGAGCAGTGAAAAGTCCAACATCCTTTCGAAATATTTTTTTAACTATTCACTTGAAATGCTTATAATACCCGTGGGCATAGCCAAGCCTTTTGTAATACACGATGAAAAAAAAACCGTTTTAGCATTCGTCATTCCACTGATTACTTGGCGGGAAAATAAATGCACTGTCATAAAACATCACCCAGCGGAGATGAAGTAGTTCATCAATGGTACTTCATCACAATAAAATGGTAAAGTTCAATACTTTCCCTGGCTAAAATATTTAGGTTAATACCATGATAAATATATTACTGTATTATGAATGATGCTCACACACGTTCAGAATGCATAATGACTTTCCATTCTTGCTGACCCTCGTTCGTCTGAACCGAGTATAGCATAGGGTGCATACCTATTATGTTGCCCAATACCTATATTTCCCAATATATGTTCCCCAACCCTAACCCTAAACCTAACCATCTAACCCTAACCCTAACCCTGACGATTTTAGGGAACGTAGGTATTGGGGAACATCGGTTAGACCCCAGTAGCATGTAAAACGAAACTGCTAATGATCACCGTGACAAGTACGTCGTTAACAACATATGACTATTGCGGCACACGAGTTCATCCAAAAGTGATCGCAAATCGCATTGCAGGAAAATTGGAAGGAAAAACATATAATAGAAGTGCACGAATGTCATCCAAGGAAGGTCTATATTTATTTGCATGAACAAACGGAGGTTGTTTTATGTGACTTTCGTGCATTTTAAGAGTGCTCGTATGTTGTCGCCTTTACTGTGTATCGACAAGTAGGCCTATAGTCATACAGGCCTACCGTGCGCAGTTTATTTAACCAGCTTTCTTTGCAGATAACTGGAAATGCGACAACGTTTTCCTCCTGCGCTCATTCTCAGTCGATAACGGGCCAATATCCTTGCATTGAGACGATTAATCATTTATTTTCATCATCACAGCTATGTACACACATCATAATACAACATGGCCCCGATTATATATGATGCAAAACAATTCGATGAAAGGTAAAAGTACTTTAAACATCTTGCGCCCTGCACGTTAGTGCACTTAGTGTATCTTTTGACATAATTTGAATGTTGTTTGAAGTGGACGTGTTGTTGATTAAGGCCTTCGTCAACTCGATACGTGTGCTATGATCTGTTAGATATTAAATCGGAGAACTTTGTTTTAAAAGTAAAGGAAAACAAACTTGGTGAACGTTGTCCTATAAATGACGTGGGTGTCGATGTGGCATACTGAATCTAACTGATATGAAGAATTCTTTTGTTTTTTCGTACGATTTGCGAGGCATGTACACTGCGAAACCGCATTGTCAAGTCTTGTAACGCATCTCATAACACATGCTACTAATTTTACACCCTTTATGCAGCGATTTATCTGAAATGTTTGGTTATTTTGTTTACTGGTTCCTTCACCATGCAAACATGTATTACGTAGACGTTCAAAAAAGGTATCTGTTTCTCGTTGCTATGACGGTAACGCATGCGCACTTACATTCATCCTCTCTTTTTGTTTAGTTTAGTTTAGTTTCTTCAGCCTAAAATAACTTGATACAATCAAAGAAATCAGATAAATAGGTCGGGGGCAAAAGGGGGAGGGGTCTAACTAGTCGTTGAAGCTGATAAAAACCTCACGTGTGCATCTGAATGCAAGCATCAAATACTGGAAACAGAGAAAACAAAATTACGATCCGCATCAGAATTCTGCTCATGGTTGCTCCGTCCAAGCTATCGATGCCGCAAATCCCCTGGGAGTTCATGTCCGTCGTTTCTCGCGGTCATTTTGAACAAACAACGGCAGGGGGAGTCTCCGAGGAAGAGAGAGGATTGCAAGGGGTTCTTGTGCCACAATATTGCGCAAAACATTTGGTCGAGGGGGAATCGATTCCTTGGCATTTTTTTAGACTGCTCAGCTGGCTTAGTGGTAAAAAAAAAAAAAAAAATCTGACAAACTTTATACTCTGGCATCGGTAGGACCTCGAGCTCACAAGGGAAAATGGTATACGTGCATGGAGTGACGAATGTCTTGAATCGAAGGCTACCAAACATCAGTCGGTCTAAGACATTTCAAACGGCGGAAAATCTTCGCCTTTATCTCAGCATGCAAAGACCGATACTTCCAGGTCATTCACATCCGCTCCTGCAGCCCAAGGCTCGTTCAAGGCCTATGCTTAATTAAACCCAAGCCGATTTCCCGAAAGGTTAAGACCGTTTGGCGATTTTGCCCGGAATTGAACCAGTCTCCGCACTCTTCGGAAAAGAAAAACACACACTAAATGTTTGTAATTATATAAATACATCCACGATAAGAGTACTTTTTCGGCTTGTTTTCCCCCAGGGAAAGAATATGCCTACAGTCGCTAATTTTCCTTGCAGTGTGCTAATTGCCGCCTGCAGAGGATTCAGAACGAAGGCTGATAAAATGGAGAAATTAAAGGTAAAATAACAAAGATACTTTTTTTAAAAATAATACCGTAACTTGGTCAACATCAAACTATACTTCAATTATCTGATGGTCAGTTATGATACATTCAAAACTGAAGGCTTGTGAAATAATATTGTCAAGTGCAGTTCTTTTTCTTGAACCGTCCTGTTTTTTTTATTTTTTCTTCACCCCAGTGGAGTCTCAATTCCGCGATTGCTACTGCGCTCCGCATCATTATT